TTTCTTTAAATATATTTAGTACTTTAGTCTGAAAATTATCAATGCTTTGCATTATTCTGGTTTATAGGAGAGATTTCCTTTTCTTCATGTTTTGCTTTTGATTGTTCCTTTTTCTGATTCTTATGTTTTGCTAACTTTTTGTGGACGTGGGCCATTTTGTTACTGTTTTTTCCTTCTAGTTTTATATTCTATTTGGAAGAATTTTCTGATTGGGTGCTTTGGTGGTACAGCAGCCAACCACCCAGCTGCCACCCAAAAGGCTGGGGCCTACACTCACCACCAGCTAGCTCTGTGGGAGAAAGATGTAGTAGAACACTTCTACGACTCATAGCTCTGAACACCCCGTGAGGTAGTCTCCCTCAGCTCTGCAGGTTTTCTGAGTCAGAACAACTCAATGGCAGCAGCCTTAGTATCTTCTCCTGACAAGCACTAGATGGCACTCTTACCCTTAGGGTTTTATTTATTTTTTTCCCAGTGCTGGTTCAGGAACTGTATGCTTAGTCTCTGGAATTTAATATGTTATGTACGGGAGTGAGGTGTTAGTTTTTCAGACACACTGCCATAAGCAGTGGAGCTCAGCTTTCCTGTTGCACAGTGGGGCTTTCTCCGTCTTTCCCTCACTAGCACCCCTGCACAGACACTCTCATGGTGTCCTGCTGTATGAGTTGTATCCTTTATCTGTCTAAAGTATTGCTGTTCTGCTGCCTGTGTGGTTCCTTCTGGTCCTAGTGTCTGTCCATCACAGGCCTCAGCAAGATTCAACAGCACTCTGATGCAGCACCACAATTTCCCTTTGCCCCATCACAGTTGTGCAGTGATCAAACTCCCACAACCAGTTTGCACTACCTTAGGTGGTGGTGGTTCTTATGTGCCGTCGAGTCAGACCCGACTCATAGTGACCACTCCTTGGGTTTCTGAGGCAGTATTACTCCGGAAATAGATTGCCCCATCTTCCTTCCAAGGAGTGGCTGGTGGGTTTGAACTGCCAGCCTTCTGGTTAGCAGTCAAGTGTCTTAGGCACTATGCTACCAGAGCTCCCACTACCTTAGGGGGAAAATGAAAAAAAATAAAAATAAGCTAGGCTAGAGCATCCTCAGATTAGTTCCTTTTCTGTGTTTGTGCTGTTATCCAGATCTTTTCCAAAAATGGCTGTGATCAGCTCCCAATATTAGAGGATAGGATCTCCTGGCTTCTGTGCCAACCTCTCTTCCTCCTCTCCCATGCTTCTGGACTTACCCTGACTTTACAGTATCTCAGCTGCTGCCCAGAGTTCTGAGATCTCAGTGTGTGTTTGCTTTTATTTATTGTTCAGTGAGGTAGTTTCTGGGGAAATAAATGCCATCTTGCCCTGCTTCTATTTTTTTTCTGATTTTAACTACAGTCTAACCTTCTTGTTTTTATAAATGATGTCTTATTGGAACATAGACATGCATATTCATTACGTATTTCCTATGGCTGCTTTCATTTTACAGTGGCAGAGTTGAGTAGTTTTAATAGAAACCATATGGCTCACTAGCCTGAAATAATTACTATCTGGCCCTTTTCAAAAACCATTTGTTAGCTCCTGGTCTAAACTAGCAATTCTTGGTAGTTGGAAGGAAGGAGGAACATATAATAGTATATCTTAGGAGAAATTACCTTACTGGTAAATAACTGAAAATTTTCCAAGAAGAAGAATGTCCTTACTGATTATTATTTTTCAGGGTATGATCCAAAAGGAGGAAGGTGTAGTTATCAGAAAAAGCTGCTTTGAAATTCCCAATCTTAGTGAACTCCTTGATTGGGAGTAGTAATATAAAAATGATACAAGTGGTTAAAATACTGGCTTTGCTTACTTAGGTAGGGAAGTACCTAGAAGCAGTGAAACTGGACAGTTCTATAGATCTGTGCCTCGGAAACCCAAGGAGGGTTTCCTTTGAGTTGGAATTGACTCAACAGCAGTGAGGTTTTTTGTTTTGTTTTGTTTTTTCTAACCTCCAACCAAGGCTTTATTTTTCAACTACTGATCTAACTAGTTTCTAACTTTTGCATTCTAATCACCAGTAATTTATCAATGCATCTTGATTGGATATTTGACCACTTTCAGACTGCAGAATCTAGTGAAATCTTCAGTTTTTTCACCTTTGGCATTAGTGGCTGGTATATAAATTTGAGTAGTGTTGTTGTTATATGCCGTCTAGTCGGACCCAACTCATAGTGACCCCTCCTTGGGTTTCCGAGGCGGTATCACTACGGAAGTAGATTGCCCAACCTTCCTTCGGAGGAGTGGCTGTTGTGTTTGAACCGCCAGCCTTCTGGTTAGCAGTCAAGTGCCTTAGGCACTATGCTACCTGAGCTCCTATAAATTTGAGTAACAGTTTTATTAACTGGTTTTCCTTGTAGGCTTATAGATGTTACCCTATCATTTGACAGTGCTGCACTTCAGAATAGATCTTGAAATGTTCTGACAAGGAATGCAATGCCATTCCTCTTCAGTTTTATTCCTAGCATAGTAGACTATATGATTGTCTGATTCATAATGGCTGATACCAGTCCATTTCAGCTCACCAATGCCTAGCATATTGATCTCCAGGCATTTCATTTTTGACAGCTTCTAATTTTCCTAGATTCATATACTTTGTCATTCCATGTTTCAATTATTAATGGATGTTTGCAGCTGTTTTTTCTCATTTTGTGTCATGGCACATCAGCAAATGAAGGTCCTAAAAGCTTTACTCATCCACATCATTAAGGTCAACTACTTTGAAGAGGCACCTCTTCCCCAATTGTGTTTTAAGTGCCTTCCAATCTGAGGGGCTCATCTTCTGGAACCATCTAGGAGATAGTTCTGCTGTTATTTGTAAGGTTTTCAATTGGTTGGATTTTTTTAGAAGTAGATCACCTCGTCTTTCCTAGTTTATCTTGCTCTGGAAGCTTTGCTGAAACCTGCCTATCACGAGTGACCCTGATGGTATTTGAATACTTCCAGCATCACAGCAACATGTAAGCCACCACAGAATGACAAACTGACAGAGAAGTGGTGGAGATTAATGACTAGGTGGGGGGAATGTTGATTTTCTTTACTCAATTTAATTGCCACTTGTTAGGTATCTACAGTAGAAACACTCTCTTTAGGGTAAATTGGGTAAGAAATCTTGTGTTTTGTGCATGTGTCTTCAGTTTTTAAAACCTTTCTCTCTTCTAGGATATCCTACCTACAAAGAAAAAGTAAAGAAAAGGCCTGGGGGCCGCCCAGAAGTGATTTACAACTATGTCCAAAGACCCTTTATTCGAATGTCCTGGGAGAAGGAAGAAGGAAAAAGTCGGCATGTAGACTTTCAGTGTGTAAAGAGTAAATCTATCACTAACCTGGCAGCAGCTGCCGCAGATATTCCCCAGGACCAGCTGGTAGTCATGCACCCAACTCCACAAGTGGATGAGTTGGATATTCTCCCTATCCATCCCCCTTCTGGCAACAATGACCTCGATCCTGATGGACAGAATCCAATGCTGTGATGCTGATGTTTCTTGAAACCATAGCATGCTACTCTGCGCAGTGATGTTGTACTCTCCTCATTCTGCACTGCAAGGCCACTCTTCTTCATTGTGAGATGCACATAACAATGTTTAGGATATTGCAGTGTAGGCTTTTTTAAAGACCAAAGGTAGCTGAATGGTTTTTTTTTTTAAATGAGTACAGCTCTAGCATCCCGAGGTTCCAGTTATATAAATGTATTTGTTTACCAGTAGGTTTGTGAAATTGGTTCTTTGTATGGGGACAGTCCTTTTTCACACATCTAGATATTTTCAGAAGTGGTAGAAGTTGGCAGCTGGAGTACCTTCAGTCTAGATTGATACTGGTCACACCCCAGATAAAACGCCGAATATTACATAGTTGCACTTTATAAATGGTGGTTAAATGGAACTAACTATTCAGGCCATTTTTATAGTTGTCATGCACAACATAATTTAAATAAGTGCTTCTATCAAAAGTACCCCTCCAGTAGTAAGATCTGTATAGTTTGCTGCCCACTGATGAACACAAAATTTGAGTATTTTATCATTGGGCTTATTCGAATGATTGGGATGAGATTCCACACCCATACCATGTCAGTTCAGACATCTCCAGTGCCGTTTTCACCTTTTTAGAGTGGGTCACAAGAAGTGTGTACACCAGAGGTGGTTTATTATCTAGTCTGCCTTACCCTTAATCTGTTCACAGGTATTTATTTACTAATGAGTTTTTTTTCTTAAGAGTGGGACAGGAAACTGAAGTGTTTCGTCTTCATTTACTAAATGATTGTAAATTCGAGTTTTTCATCAAAATAAAATTCCATTGTTTTAATGCTTCTGACCAACTTTACACCTACCTCGAAATTTTCTGTTGGTGCAAGTGTAACTAGAAACCAAGTATCAGTTCAAGACTCCAATTTGGTGTATATGCGATGATGCACTTTGATTTCCTAGTAACTATAAAATATACTATATATCCAAAACAATGTTTGTTAGAAAGAATGTTTCTTAAAGAGAATGTTTTTCTAGTCCAACTTGACATGAAGGGCGAATGACTTTCCTAGGTCATGTGGTTTGAGTCATGCAAGTACTATTTTTTATGGTCTGTGGCCCAGTTTAATGAAGAACTATTTCGGTGCTTAGGGGCTGGGATCACTTACTGTTTGAAGTCATACAATTGCCAGCAATAGAGAGGCCAGTTCGTTGTATCTAAACTTGAATTTATAATTTCATAGGATTTAAAATTTGTGTATAAGTAATTACATTTTTTTCTCTCATCTCACATAAATTAAAACTGCAACAATTCTGAAATGAACTATTTTTTAACAGTACAGCTATATCAGTAGTACAGGGAAATTAGGCAAGTCCCAAAATTGTTATGAAGGCCAGAAAGGCACTGCAAATGTAACTGGTGTGGATTAACCTTTAACACCTACTGTAGAAAATGGATGATGCAGCTCTGTAGCATGTAGGATTTTTTTTTCTAATTATTTGCAATGTGAAGAGTATTTATAGAACAAGGGAAACATTTATTAAAAATATTTAACTGTCTAATACATTATACTTTAACCCATATTTATAGTAAAGGATTCTTACAAGGAAGAATTAACGGCTTTATGATACAATTAGTATAAGAAATATCCACATGGGGGACTTCTTTGTAGTGTAAAAACACCATACATTTGAAATGACCATTTGCATATAAAAGCTACCAATGATGCTTCTGTGCACAATGATTAAAAAATTCAACACAAACAGAATCCAAAATATACAATTAATGCAAGCTATCCACAGCTAGCCCAATAATCAATGATGAGGAGACACTGAAGCAGGCTTAGTTCCACTTTGTCTGAAGTTACATAGAGTGAGATTGACTTGTATCAATGGCTCTAAGATGGCTTTTATGAAGACAGTACATAAAAGCTGTTCTCTCCTTATCCAATAAGCTTCACAGACTGTAAAACTCCACCAGTAATGCACTTTGATACTGTAACTGTTGCCAGAGCAACATGTAGTGTTTACAGCGGCCACGGCAAGTCACTAAAGTCAACAGGGCCACCCAGTCCAGCATCTGCTTCCAAAAGGCTCATGATGACAGCCATTGCTGCTTCATCGTTGCTGGGACTACTTGAGCCTTGATCATTATCTATCATATCTATACCTATATGGGGGTTCTCACCTGTGGGAGAAGATAAAAGACTGATCAGTGATGAAAAGTATCAAAGCATGTTTAACTTTATTAAGCAATTCCTAACTGTGCTTTTGATAAGAGTTACATTTAACAGAGGCTGATTCTTAGGGCTATATTGCTTCCCCCTCCCCGCCCCGCCAACTTTAGCATTTTTCAGAAGAAAAGAACCAACTTTTAAAGAGTAAGAACAAAGTGCTTGAAATTCAGTTAATATTAAAAGTATCTGAGTTGACCTATTTAATATTCTGATAGAACCAGTTAAGGGGAGTGGGTCACAGAAAGACAAATAGAAAGGGTGGCATAAAGACAAGACCTGAGGGGGGGGGTCGCCATAAGTTGGATCCGACACGATGGCAGTGAGTTTGATTTTTTTGGTTTAGAAAGCCAAGTAAAGGGGAAAGATGGATGGGGTAGGGAAAAGCAAACTTTTCATCATTTAATGACTTAATTCCCTCTGAATGCTTATTAATCCTTCTAGGCTTTACCTTTGAATCTTCAGCAGCTCTGTTTCTGAAGAGATTACATCTCACATTGTGAGAGAAAGCCTGTCTAAACTGCTATCGTCTCCTGCTGAGGTCCAGGGACAAACTTGGACCCTTCCCCTAGAACTCAACCATTAAAGTCAACTTTGAAGTTGAGATTTACACAAATGTTAAAGCTCTGCTTTGTTCTTATCAAATATAATTAGTACTGGCTTCTTTGTATAAGTCAGTTCTTAAGCTGACTTTATGCGGGATGGTTTGCAAACACACTGCAATGAAATAAATAATGATGCCACTTACCAAGAATAGAGGAACTATCAGAATATGGATAACCTGGATTCTCCTGGGCCTGCCCTGGTAGTAGGCCACTGGAAGGAATGTCTGGTGTCCCTCCATTTAAAATCTGCAAACAAAAGGGGAAATGTTTGAAATTTCCCATTCATATAAATGTATTGTCAATAGGAATCATGTGCAATGTCACCAAGAAGACAAGCATGTGACAAGGAGAAAGGTGGGAGGAAAACTTCAAATAGCTTCAGTGGAAGATTTCAAACAAGGAATTGGGAATGGTCAGAGTAAGAAAATACCTCAAACTATTCTGTTAATTCAGTTCAACCCATACAAGCAATTTAAAGGCTGAATAAATCCTGACAGTATTACCAAATACCTTGGATTTATGCTGCCCACATGTTTCTTTAGGGCCAAGCACTAAACCTCAATGAGCCCAGCTGAGCAATTCCCCAGCAAGGGAGTAAAACATCTCACAGCAACAGATGTTCCAGAAGCAGCAGTGAGTGGGATGAGAGATACCACCCTACTGAAGGGTCAGAAATTAAGAAAACACTAGAAGCAGCTTTCTCATCATCAGGTATACTACAATAACCTGTGGCGCTTTTTTTATATAGGCCACTGAAAAGCATTGTTAACCATGCAGCAAATGCAGAACTCTAATTTTATCTCAAAAGATCCCGTTCCCTGCCTCCTCATTGCCAATCTCCACCCCTCTCCCTTCTTCAACTTCTCTCCCCGGGGCTGAGTCTCATTATAGAACATCCTTTAAGGATTATTTGGATATGGGTTAGGCTAGGGAACAGTTCTGTGGCCACTAGATTTCAGGAGAGTTGGTGATTTCAGGACTTGCCAGTAGGTGGCTTTACAACTTTTCTTTATCTCTGCAGTTCTCCAGGCCCCTTTAAAAAACAAAAAACAAACTCACTGCTGTTGAGTCGATTTCAACTCATAGTGACCCTTCCTTGGGTTTCCGAGGCAGTATCACTAGGGAAGTAGATTGCCCAACCTTCCTTCCAAGGAGTGGCTGGTGGGTTTGAACCGCCAGCCTTCTGTTTAGCAGTCAAGTGCCTTAGGCACTATGCCACCAGAGCTCCCCCAGACACCTTTACAGGATTAAAAATTATTGAGGACTACAAAGACCTTTTGTTTATGTAGTTTATATTCATCAATACTTACTATATTTGAAATTAAAATGAATACATTTAAAAAATAAGCACATTACATATTAACATAATTAACAAAAAATAACTTTTTTCCAAAGCAGATAAATTAGTGAAAAGATCATTGTTTCATATTTTTGCAAATCTGGCTTAATAGAGGACAGCTGGATTTTTCTATCTGCTTCTGAATTCAGTCTGTTGTGGTATGTTGTTTTGGTTGAAGTTACATGAAGAAAATCTGGCCTCCCACAGACACATATTTGGAAGAGAGAGGTGTATCTTAATAGCCTTTTCAGATAATGGTGGTATTCTTTACATCAAAACTCAGTAAGTGGAAGTAGCTCAAAGGTTAGTTACGATGTGGAATCAGAAACCTTATCACTGAATATTTTGTCATGTGTATGTTATAATTCATTGGTGTATCTTGGCACTTAGGATGGATCTTTTACCCTTGCATGATTTTGAAATGTCTTGCATTGGCTATTTGAAAAATGTTTGTTCACTAAGTTAGCAGATCTTCCAAATGTTAACACATTTCATTATACAACATCAAAACATCACTGCTGTTAATATCACCTATCTCTTCAGAAAAATCTTAAGTTTGGGGAAGCTTTTGAGCTCAAGACTGCAGTTACAATTTTTCTAAAGAATTCTAATTTTTGCTTGAAAGCTCAGATTTTATCATTGGCAAAAAAGACTTATTTTCCTTGAAGTGATATGTTCACTTCATTCATTTCCAAGAATATATTGAGTACCCAATTCTGAATAACCATAGTTTGCCATAGTAAAAATGATGTCCCATAAGAAAAACAACCAGTTCAGGTCACTAGGTAAACACCTGCACAGGTGTTTCATCATACTTCCCATTTTGCCACAGAGAATATTAAAAAGATGTGTACTCAAGGATTTTATGAAAGTAATGATTTTCACTGGTTCATCAAGAGCATTCTGAAATGAAACTGGTTTAAATATTTTTAATTTTCTAACGGCTAGTATGTAGCAGTGAAGACTACAACAACCACGAGTATGCTTGGTGCCACTGCCTTGATTTGTGCTGAAGCACCAACACTTTAATCCAAAATTGCTTTTGTACCATCAGTGCACATGTTTACACAGTGGGAAAATAATGTTACAATATTATTGGGAAAATAGTTTTCACTTTGCAGACCCCTGGAAGGGTTTTAGGGCCTACCCAGGAGACCATGTACCACACTTTGAGAATGGCTACTTTACCTGAACCTGCCTTAATGCTTTTGGATGGCCAGACTCCTGGGACTTAGTGAGACTTACCTGGCCTCCCCTTTTAGCTTTATCCTGACTGAAACAGCTGGCAGACTAAATGGTTCATTCTTGGACCTGCCAAATTTGAAAGTGACCAAGAAGAGGTAGCAGCATTGGGCCATCTTTCCTCTTGTGGGTCTGGTGCACCATTTAATTTTGCTTTCATGTTTAACTCTATCTTGTTTAGACTGCTTTTCCTATTAAATCCTGCTGCTAAAAACTCACAAGACAATATATCTAGAATTTCTTCTCCCAGACCCATTTTTATAAGCCCAAAGAAAAGGAAAAAAACATTCACAAATGTCTCAGAAATACCTGGGGTTTTGGCATGCAGAACACACTTCTGATTTTTTCACAACTGCCAGAGATTCAGAAGAGATCACATTGTAGTTTGTTACCTACACTTATTAACAAATGCTGGGCTAATCATTTTATGTTTGGGAGCCTCGATTTTCCCACCTATAAAATTGTGAGGATTAGGGAAGAGAATGCACATGGAAGTTTCTTGAGGCATATTCAAGCACTATACTGGAGTGATAACTTTTCAAGACAGAGTATAGGGAGTTCCCAACTTACGATGTGTTCATATTTGAGTTAGGATGAATTGCACTTATGACCATCTGTTTTTTGTTTTTTTGTATATATCCAACTCCATGGCAATGGTTGCCTTGCCTTTTATCATCAGTAGTATGTGCTACAGTGTTGCACTGTGCAATGTGCTGATGTTATCATTCTCAGATGTTCATTTGCAGATGTTCAAAGATCAGATTCACAAAGATACTGATAATAAATGGAAATAATAATGAAAACTTTAACAATAATAATAACAAAAAAGAGGTATTTGACGTAAGTCAGAACCACCTTGCAATGCAGTGAAACAAAACCTTACTTAAGTTAGGGACTACCTGCAGTAGGAGTCGTGGTAATACCAGGAAGTCAAAAGGCCTAAGAGTTGAGAAGCAGAGAAGGGGAAACCACCCTAAGATGATGAATTCAATATGAGAGGAAAGACCTAGGAGGACACAACAGGAGAAGAAAGTCTGCAAGCACTAGATAGAGATACCTAAGTCCAGGTTTCATCGAATGGTATTTTCTGGGTTGTTACTGGCCAGGCACTTTCATATACATATCTATAATGTCATTAATCCTTACTTAACCTTGGAGATAGGTACCATTAGCTCCATTATAAAGAAAACTAAGCCTCAAAACCTGTATGAGGTCACAAAGCTAGCACGTGGCAAAGCCAGGCTTCAAACCCAAGTCCATCTTACTTTGCTATGCTCTTATACATTAATTTATTGACTTTCAAACCTTCCAGGGGGAGCAAAACCCCTTTTCAAATAGGAGCTTATGCAGAAGACTCATATATAAAACAAACAAAGCTGCTCTGGTAGAAGCAGCCATCCTGATCTTACCCTTTCCTCTCGCCTGGTGCCTCTCCCCTCATTCTATCGCACAGCACCACAGGTCTGGTAAACTGAGTCTCTGAGGAGCCTGGGTTTGCAAACCTGTTCTGCATTTAATTTGATAACAGTTTGTGCCCTAGGAGCGCCACCTATGTAAATTACTAATATTCTCTGTATTCATTTTGGAAGATGGAGGAGGAGGACTTCCTGTGCAAAGATGCTGGCCCTTGGCTGCCCTAACCTATATTAACATTGGGTGCTATAAATAGATTTATGATTTACAATTAACACAGGCCTAGGCTTGTACATTCTCTGGCAAAGATGAAAATGTATATGGTTTCTAGACCTATTTATAGTCTAGTCTTCTAGCCAGTTTCTCATGAGGTCTGGCAACTGATAAACTACTGTGGCCCATGCCATCACATAACAGGAAACTCAGGTGTCAGATTCCCAAGTGATCCGACGTTGCAAAAGCATGGCCTAATGTCCAAAGCACTGCGAGTAGTAATGCTGTTTCCAGTGCCTGCCCTAGACATGAAGAATGTTTTCTCCCTTCAAAACTGCTGGCAGAGAACGAGATACCTCCCTGTGTGAAGTACTCACTAATCCTTCCCCCATGAGAGCTCCTGAATTGTTCCCTCAATGCAAGGGACTGACTGCTGCCCATTCTGTAAGGGTTTTCTCCTCCTCCTGCCTTTCCCCATTCACATGGACTAAATCTTCTGAGGATGTCAGCACACTGCCCTCATTCCAGCAATGTGCTTTGTACCCAGACTCACACAGATGCATGCATTCTTTTACTTCAAAGAAAACAGGGCCTAAGTTGTTCCAGCAGCAGCCTTCCACCTTTATCAGGGTTCAGTCACAACTGCAATCATCTGCTCTTCGCACATTCCAGAACTGGGCATGAGGCTCTCCATTAAGAAGGGCCTTCGCCTAGGAGTTAGCAGCCTTACCTTCTTGCCTCCTGGAGAAGAGGCATCAGGGGGAGGTGTACTTGTGATGTTCAATGGACTGGAGCCACAGCTAGAAGGTGATGACCCTCTTATCCTGTCAGAGAATAGAAAAGTTGTTACATTGTCTTTTCTGTTTCCAGTGGAATGTGTTTTGCCGATGAGTGGGATGAGGAGATCTAGAAAGGAGCTGGCAAACTTTTTCTGTAAAGGGCCAGGTAGTAACTGATTCAGTCTGCAGGTCATGCAGTCAGTCACAACTACTCAACTCTGCCACTGTATTCTGAAAGTGGCCAGACAATATGTCAATGATTGGGCGTGTCAATTAAAACTTTATTTACAAAAACAGGTGGCTAGCTGGATTTGACCCACAGGCTCTTGATCTAGAATGCAGATACTGGAATCAAGCATCTTACTGTCAAAACCCTGGGATAGGGTTTGGATTTCAGGTTAGTGAATTTCAAGTCAGTGGCCAGAGATAGAGATCTCTTTCCTCATAGAACCTCTATCTCAAGGCTGGAGAGGACATTGGAAGTTCAACCTTAATCTAAAATCCACAGCCTGTGACTTATCCTTTTCCCCACAAACACTGTTTAGCTAGTGTATTCTTTTTAGGAAATGTAGAGTTCCAGGCCCCAGGTGGCTCAGTTGTACCCAGAACACAGCACTGTAAACCCATCAAGCTCTAAGGTAGCAGGTAATAGAAAATGGGTCCAGGTCTTTCTCAGCTAGCATCTCTCTCAGAATAGTAGGTATAGAGAATAAACTTAGAATGTAAATCTACATAAACTCTTGGCAGGGCTGAAGTACCTCAGGAAAGGAAGACATGACTTAGAAGGGCAGCACTGTGTGACTGCCAGGCTCTCACCAACTACATGGATAAGTGCAGCTTTTGGGTCACCCAGGGACCCATCTTCCACTGCCCAGTAGTCTTGGTTCTTGGCCTGTACTGCCTAATTCTGTGGATTTGTGCATAACCAAGCTTTCTCTCTCTCCTGCATTATAAGCTCCTTGAGGTCACAATGCAACCATGCACCATGTACTCTTAGCACATACAGACAGAAGGCTACTAATTGCTTATTGAAAAATTGCTGAATGTCTCCCACATTTTCCTATTTATGTCTATGAAACTATGGTTTTCCCAGATTCCTTATCCTGGAATTACCTTTTCATCATTCCTGATTTCGTCTTCAAAATCCAGTCAGTCCTAAAATTACTGATTCCTCTTTTAGATGGCATCATCACTGCAGGATAGGCCTCACCCCTGGTTCATTAAGCATGCCTACCTTCATCTCTCCCTACTGTCACCCAGCTTCCACAACGGAAGCCCTTTGAACACTTACTCAGCATCCTACAGTGAACAGGGTCCTACAGCTTTCTTTCAGTCCAAACTGCTCAGCATCATTTCTTAGAGTTCATGGTGATCTGCCACCACAGCTCTGAATCTCCTTCCTACAAAGAGGCTGCCCAATTAAATGGCCTGCTCCTTGGCCCTGAACATGTGAGCCACATGTCTGCTCAGGTGTGGGCCTGGCTTTTCAGGAGGCAACATCTACCCTTTAAGACTAAACTCAAGTCTCATAAAGGAAATCAACCTCTCTCCTCAAAGATTTATAAAGTCCTTGAGGTCAAGGAGTTTTTAATACTGTTCTGGGATGTTCTCAAGCAATGCACAGAGCAGGCAGTGACTGGTCAGTACCTGATTATCACTGGACACTCCTCTCTCCCCCACCTCCTTCCTGAAGTAGAACCAGGAAGCCACACCCATCAATTCTGTGAGGTGGGAACAGAAATGGGCTACCACTGGGCAAAGAGCCCCTATATGGCCAACTAGGAAGCAAGCCAGCTTCCTCCTGTTCCCCTAAAAGACTCAGTCCAGTGGCAGCAAGGAATATTACTATTCTTTCCCCCTTTTTCTCTGACTGCATTCTATTAAATTGTGCACTCCCCAAATCAAATGGACCTAAAGTAGCTGCTTCCCTCCCAGTGATTATTCATAAAGACTTCAAACAATTTTTGAGCCTTTGTTGTGTATCATGCTCTGTTTAGGCACTTTCATGGAGTCCCTACCAATCCCAACACAATACTTGAGAGAGATTGCCTCCCTTTCATGATTTAAACCAACAGAAACCAAGACAGTAAGTGAAATCTCTCAAGCACACACTGCAGAGAGGCATGTTCTGGATTCAAACCCAGGTGGAACTGCTTCTAGTCTCTTTCCCCTTCACAGGACAGGAAGATGTCTTTCAAGAGAGCTGCCTCCATCAACAGCTGATCTATTAGTTTCTATTACTAACCCATGACAGCTTCTTGTCTGGAAGCCGCTAATGTTTTGTTAAGGCTCAGAGGACTTCAGCAGGTGGAGTTCTACTTCTGCAGCCCTTCAATGTCAGTGCATGTCTGTTCTCACCGGGAAGCTCCTTGACTCACACACAAAGTGTCAAGAGAGCCAAGCCTCTCAGAGAGCACGCTCTTATTCTAGCCAGTTTTTGGATTAGCCTCTTTGGTTTCTCAACATTGGCACTGACATTTTGGGCCAAATAATTCTTTGTTGTGGGGCTGTCCGATGCAATACAGGATGTTGGGCAGCGGCCCTGCTCCCTATCCACTGAACGTTGAGCAGTACTTTCCCCACCTCGTTGTGACAACCAAAAAAAGTCTCCATTGAAAAATATCTCCTGGGGAGGAAAACTGCCCCAGGTTGAGAACTAGTGGTTTAAGGGAGCAAGGTAGGAAGTGTTACTTACCTGTGGATTTCCATGATTTCCTCAGCAATCATTCGACCTATTTTTCCTGCTCCAGCCCTAGTTCCCCCTGGGATCCCTGGAACAGTGGGGTGGGTCCTCTTTGGGCCACCTACAACAAAGGAATTTGAGAGTGGGAAAGGGGAAAACTAAGGAAGAAATGGCATTATTTGTAAAAATTAAAACCACTTCATCCCATGATCCACCTGAAGTTAAACCTCAAAGTTGTGCCTTGAAGGAACATCAGAGCTATAGCTTGTAGAGGTGAGAAGGCAGGTAAGGAGGGACAATGAGTGCAAGCACAATGACCAGCATGTGCAAGCACTGAGGGAGGGCAAAACTCAGGACACTACCCCACGGAATCATGACTGACAAGGGGTAATAGAAGAAACTGGCGAGGTGAGCACCAGTCAGATCATGAAGGGCCCTGGATGCCACACTGAAGAGTTTGGACAGTATCTAGAAGAGGTTAAGGAGTACCAAAGGACTTTACACAGACAAGGCTCCAAGTTAGATCTGGGTTATTAGAAAGTCCACTGTGTGAAGAATTAACTATAGAGGTGGGCAGGGTGTGGGGAGAGTGAAACTAAAGTTAGGAAGTTATCTGCAACAATCCAGGCAATAGATGAGGAGGGCTAAATAGCAGCAGGAGTGACAGAGGCATTTAAGAGATAGCAGGGTCAGGATTTCATGTTTAGATATGATGGGGGAGAGGCAGGAGTTGAGGTTTCTGGCTGAAACCAACCACATGGGGAAGTGCAGAGAATCAGTTTGGGAGATGCTGGATTTCAGGTGCCTCTGGGCCTCCAGGGGGCTCTGCCCAGGAGGAAGTTGTAGAGACAGATCTGGAGCTCAGGAGAGAGACGGGGCTGGATGGAGATGTGGCTGTGGGAGGCACTGCTGGAGAGGTGGGGCCTTGAGCCACGCCAGTGGTGCAGCCCCGAGGGAGAACGAGTAGAGTTCGGAGAGCAGGGGCCCTGTTGGGCAAGGCACACAACCCAGTGATGACAGACGGCCTCCTCCCAACAATGGGAGCAAGGGACCAAAGAGCACCTCACACCACAACCACTGGGCAGCATAGGAGGCAGAAAGCACAGGAACGAGGACATTGCTATTTCAAGGGCTTCCAGGGTCCAGGCAGCCTCAGGAGAGGCAAAAAGGAGCTCCCAATATCCCAGGCTCGACAGACAGAGTAAGACGAAAGTGTCCTTAATATTCATGGGCAAATCAGCACAGCATCTCCGAGGCCGCCCTTGTTCCATGGAATATAGTGGTGGGGGCCCAGGTCACTCAGGGAGGGTATGTGGCCACAAGCAGCTCTCAGTGGGCCAGGCCAGCACCCGGCAATGCATAGTTACCTTCTCCAGAGGGCAGCATGCTGTCCATGCTGTGGGGGGACGCTGTGAGCTGCGGAAAGGCTGGGTCCCCACCTTCCAGGACGTTGGCTCTGTGAACATCCCAGCAATAAGGACATGTGAGTCAGGCCTGCTCAGAACCAAGCACCTTTCACCTTTGGCCAAGGTGTCCAGTGTCCGCTCGGGACCTGGACAGGCCAGAAAATAAAGTGTCTGAGTGGCTGAACAGGTCTCCTCACTGTTTGGTAACACAATGGAAAGCATCCCGGCCTCTGGCCTCAGTACCTGCCTGGGCCTTCCTACGCTGTGTGGGGTGCGGGCCAACAGAAACTGGCCAGCTTGTGGATATTATGCGTCATATACTACAGCAGCCCACCACCACTACTGCAGCACCTTCTCTCTTACCAACCCACAGCACACCCAACCCTAGCCCCTAGCTCAGCTCTAACCAGAGGTGGGGGTTTGGAAACCATGGGGAAGGAGATGTGGGTTGCAGGCTGGGCCAAAGAGGAGGTACCTTCCCTCCCCCAGTTCGCCTAGCAGGAGGTATAGCCTTTGAGGAGGCATTCACCTGCCTGTGTTCAGGCCACCAGCCTAATGGGCCTGGGTAGCCACCCACCCTTAGCCAAGGCCAGGACGAGCTAGTGCCACTATGAGCCTTTCAAGGATCATCAATCCCCTCCCTCCTCTAGAACAGTAAAAATGGATGCCCAGTGCACGGAGCCTGCAGAATTCAAAGGCTGACTGCTTTCTTTGGAAGAAAATGTTGCTATTTCATGGAACAATTCCACAAGTTGGGGCCTGCATGGTATGAGTGTTGAGGCTTGTCCTTTGCCAGTCCTCAGGCATCACAAGATATTAACAAGGTGATATTATAGAATGTGATACTTGGCTGTATCCCCTTCCCCTGATAAAGAGCCCAAGGCATTTCTCTTTAAAGCAAGGGAGCTTCTGATACAGAAAAAAAAAAAAACCCAACAGCAAAACACTTACAAAACAACAGTGTTGGTGGACACAATGTATTCTACTTCCTTGGTCCAAGGGTTCATGAAACTGAACCATCGACTCCGTAATGTGATGAAAGACCCATCTTTGATTTTGAACTTATAACAATTGGTTGTAATCTTTTCTCTCGTCTGTAAAACTAAAAACACAAAGAAATTATGAACACTGTTGTTTCCTCAGACCAATGTAAGAGAAAGGAACCCCAATACCAAAGATGAAGGGCACCCAGGCTCCGATGCCATCACTCTGTGATAAGCCAAGGGAGAGGCATCACTACTTCAGGGAACAGGTAGTTTCTGAGGATCTAACTCAGAGCCTTTCAATTCACTACTTGACAGAATCTAAGAAACTCAGCTTCTGGGGAGTAACTGACTCCATCCCAGAAAGCTAATTGGAACCAGCTACAAAACGTGCTTCAGCAAACAAGAGGCACTGTCCAAAGGGCCACGTTCTTCCCCTCATGAAGCCTGAGGGCCTACAGCATTTATGGACATCAGATCCAGAGAGGTCACTCACCTATTCAAATCTCATACTTTCAAGTGACAGACATGCAATGAGCACCTTTCATGTGCTGGGCACTGGAAATAGGAGAGGAGACAGACAGGACGTGACCCCTGCCCTCCAGGAGCAGAGTGAGAGAAGCCTACAGAGAATGGTGATCGGACCCTTGAGGGATGAACTAGGAAAGGAGGGAGGGAAGTACCCAGCAGTGTGAAGGACAGGCAAGGCCTGGTGGGGTGTGGAATGACAAGATGGTCAGTGTGGCTGGATCATGGGGCCTCAAATGGCAGGGATGAGATGGGAAAGTGAGGAGGTGGGTTGACAAAAGGTAGAGGGCCTTGAATGCTTGTCAAAGGCACTGGGGCTTGATTCTACAGGCAGGAGGTTTTTAAACAGGCATGTGACATTGTGGGCTCCATCAATAGAAGGATAAATGGGATGGCTATGGAAACTAGACTGGGGGAGGGAGAGAGAGGTGAGGTCTGTTAGGAGTCTGTTGTAGTATCCAGATGGGCACAAGGACTTGAATCAGGGGCATGGCAGTAGGGATGGCAGAGAGAAGACTCTTTGGAAATGCATGTCTGAGGTGGATGGATGAATAGGATCCGGTGGAGGAGGAAGTAAAGAGAGAGGTCAATGTTGGTCTGTCTCTTGTGAGGCTGCATATGTGGTCATACATTAGTCAAGAAGGAAAACACAGGAGGTAGCACAGGTGTTTATGGAAAAGAGAATCTGTTTGGGCCATACTAAATCTTTGCAGAGGAGCTCTGGTAGCATAGTGCCTAAGGCACTTGACTGCTAACCAGAAGGCTGGCAGTTCAAACCCACCAGCCACTCCTCAGAAGGAAGGTTGGGCAATCCTACTTCCGTAGTGATACTGCCTCGGAAACCCAAGGAGGGGTCGCTATGAGTCGGGGCCGACTCGACAGCATATAACAGCAACAACAACAAATCTTTACAGAGACCAGCTAAATCTTTTGAACAAGACACACCTTTCAGAAACTGCTCTCGTCTATACAGAGAAAACTGTCAGGCAGGGGTGAGGATTCTGTAAAGGGATAAAGAGTGATAGAGAGCATCAACTTCCTCTCTTCACAGATATTTTGATCTGAAGAGTACTGGGTTGGCTGATTCCCACTCTGCTGGGGCAGATTCCTCCAGAAGGTTATGTAGACGAGGCTAGAAGTAGGGTGATACTTTCAACTTAAGAGCTTGTGTATAGACCAGCTTACCTTGCCTATGACATTCTGCGAGATGTCCTATGTCATCTTGATGAAAATATTCATAACAGGATGTGCCTAGAAGTTCTTGTGGTAAATATGCCAAGATAGCTGTTGCCCTAAAAAAGGAATTTTTAAAAAAGAAAAAAACCATTAAGATGATTAAGAACAATTTGGCAGTGGATGAGCCCTGCTACAGCTGATGAGACAAGGCTAAAAATTTAAGGGGGAAAAAAAGGTCTAGTAGATTTTCAGAGGATTTATGTGGATATCTTTCTCTAGGCATCTGAATTTAATCAAGGCTCTGGTAGTGTAGTGCCCAAGGCATTTGACTGCTAACCAGAAGGCTGGCGATTCAAACCCACCAGCCACTCCTCAGAAGGAAGACGGGGCAATCTACTATAGAGATACCACCTCGGAAACCCAAGGAGGGGTCGCTATGGGTCAGAATTGAGTCAACAGCAGTGAGTTTGTTTTTTTGGTGTAAGAACAGAGGGAAACAAAGTGAAGAAGCCTTCAAAGGGCTTGCTATCATAGAAATCAAATTTTAGAAGATTTTAAAATGGTTACCGTGTTAGTCAGACAAAAATGTGACCAAATCTAAATGCCAGTGCAAAGCTTTTCTTTTTTTGCTGCCTTTTTTTTTTTTCACTGAGATTATCAAACATCAGTAGCTTCAGCCATCAGGGCCACAATGACCCCGAAAAGTATCTGCTTTCTTTTTCAGTATCTAACAGCTCTCTTGAATAGCCAGAAACGTCATCAGCCTGTGAATATTATTATTATTGTTGTATTACTAGTAATCTTTTATTAATATCACAATGTTGTAAGTTGCCCTTGAGTTAATTCCTACTCACAGCAAACCCATATGTGTGAAGTAGGACTACTCCTTAGAGTTTCCAAGGCTGTGACCTTTCTTTAATTTTTATTGTGATTTGGGTGAAAGTTTACAGAGAAAATTCATTTTCCACACAGCAGCTCACATATACTTTGTTTTACGACATTGACTGCAATTTCCTGCAATGCAACACCTCTCTTCCCACTTCCTCCCCATAACTACCTCTTCCCTGTGTCCTCCTCTCCCATGCACTCCTGCCCCAAGCTGTCTGACTGTACATACACAGCCCTTCTATCCTCCCATGATTGATCTCTCCAAGGAGTATATCTACCTAGTGTAAATGTTCACCTCATGAGACTGTCTTGTTTGGCTGGAAGTCATAGGAATGGGTTCAATTCCAGACCTGAAGGGCAGCTAGGGGCCATAGTCTCAGTGGTTCTATCAGACCAGCAAACTTGGTCTTTTATTATTATTATTACTATTATTTTGAGTTTTGTCACACATTGTTCTCCTACTCTATTATCCAGGGTCTCCTACACAGATCTCCTTTGGCCTATGAATATACTTAAGGGAGATAGCAGTGGGCAGTGGAAAATTAGAAACATCTGGGACCTTAGCCCAGGTCTTCTACCACTAGCTATGAATTGTGCAAGAGACCAGTCTCCAGGCTGGGCGTCAGTTTCCTCATCCATTAAAGTGAGGAGGTTGAACTACATTAGTGGTGCCCAACAGAACTTTCTTCAGTAATAGAAATATTCTACATCTGTACCACTAGCCACATGTGGCTCCTGAGTATTGTAAATGTGGCTATTGAGTCTCAGGAATGAAATTTTTACTTGTACTCAATTTAAATTTATTAAATTCAATTAAATAGCTATATGAGGATACCACAGCCAACAACTACTGTATTGGACAACTCAGAGCTAGAAAACCTTTTCCAAGCCCTACAGTCCAGAATTCCATTCAGAGTAAGGGTTCTGGAACACTCTGGAGATTCAGACAGCATGCTATGCCTAACTATTTCTCATTTGATGATATCCATAGATATCAAACCACCCCACTCAACTGACTGTATGGCCACAGAAGGACACAGAGAACATTTCTGAATTTATGATGATATCCTAGTAGTCTCTCTTTTTTTTTTTTTTCAGCTGAGACCTCATCACCTTCTCTTTCTTTATCCATAGAAAGGCCAACTGATGGCCCATTCTGTTCTGCTTTCCACCACGTTGAAAATCCTCTACCGTTACTGCTCAGAGGTAACATGCAGATTCTTACCTCTGGTCTACAAAAACAAACTTCCCATCTATCGCGTGTCGAGAAACATATTCCATAGATTTCACCCTGATTTCCCCGTTCACTGGCTGTGGAACCATGTGCGAGTGCAGTCGCCCGATTGCGACCAGGCAGCTGAGGTTACACCCTTCGTTGTCTGGCTCGTTGTCTTCGTCCAGCCCCATCTTCGTGGGTGGCCAGCTTTTCAGATAGCCTGTGCTATGGATTGTGCAGAAGCTTTTTCGATCTGCTAGAAAGCAAAGGTCACAGTTAGTGTCAGTGCTAGCTTTGGGGAATGAAAGCATAGGCAGCTTATGGTGGGGTGGGGAGTCAAAAAACAAGAAACAAGGCCTCACTCTCCAGAAGGGAGCATCTCTTGAGAGAGGCAGACAGAAAAATAGATAACTACCATCCACCGTCACGTGGGCTTAGTAGAGCTAGTTTACACCAAGGGCATTACGCACACCTGGAAGGAGGGTCTCAATCTACCTGAGGACTGGAAGGCTCCCCAGAGAAACCAAAATAAGAGGTTGATCAAGAAGGCTGAGCACTGGCTAAGGGATGGGAATGTGGAAAGGTTGACAACATACAAAGGCACAGAGGCATAACCTGTGAAGGAACAGCAAAGAGCTCCATGTGGTTGGAGTGAAAAGGAAGGGGCTGGGGGTAGAGTTGGAGAGAAAGGTTGAGGACAGATCATAAGGGCTTGGATTATTTGCTAACAAATGTGTTGGTCTTTTTCAGACAGGAAATGGAGAGAATCCAAAGGTATTTAGGTGAGGAAACAGCAAAATCAAATTGCTGTTTGGATACTCTGAGAACAGAGTCATGGGTGAACTAGAAATGGGTAAAAGCCAGAAGAAGCAGGAAGGCTGGTTAAGAGGCTACTGGCAGCAATACAGTGACATACAGGGAGGGCGGGCTAAACACTGGCAGTGCAGTGAAGATGAGGAGGCGGCACAGAGAGGTGCACTGCTGGCATTTGGTATGAATATTGGGCTTAAGGGAAAGAAAGCAAAAGGAGAGGACCCAACTTTTCTGGCTGTAGTGTCATTCACTGACTCAGAGAAGACAAAATAGAGGAGGAGAAGGAGAAAATACTTTAATTTGGGATACATCGAGTGTGGTAAGCCTGTGGACTTCAACCACAAACAAACCCTTATGGAGTGCTCACCACACACTGGGTATATGCTGGTTACTGGGATACAGTGGGCAATAAATCAGCCACGCTCACATGGAGCATACAGCCTAGAGGAGAGACAGACACTTAACAAATCCTCACACAAATAACTAGATAACTACACCTGAAAGAAAAGTGCTAGAGATAAAACCCGTGGAGTGCTACAAGGAGACACAAGGCAGCCCGAGGGAGGGAGGGACACTGATGCTGAACTCTGAAGAGTGAGCCGGTGAGGGAGCTGGTGGGGAGGGAGGAGGAGTTCCAATCAGGTGATAGCATGTAGAGAGATTCCAATCAGAGGTGACAATGTGCAAAGAGGCCTTGAGTGGAAAGGAGTTTGAGGCATCAAAAGAAAGTCAGTACGGCTGGAATGTGCTTGGCAGCAGCAGGGGTTATGTGTAGGTCATGTTCAGAATTTTGAACTTTTCTTCAAGAGTACTAGGAAACCTTAAAACTTTTTAAACAGGGGACTGAAAACAGATTTTATTTCAAAAAGACCATTCTGGCTGCTGTCTGGAAGGCTGAAGCATGAGAAGCCCACTGTACCAGGCCTGTGAGAGATAACAGTAGAAAAGTGGAATTCAGTGTGGCAGGTCTTAGTAACAGACTGGATGGGGAGGAAAAGGGGGAGACAGGGCTAAATGTTCCTCCCAGGATTCTAGCATGAACAACTGGATAGATGGTGCCACCGCTTACAATGAAGGAGAAACTCAAGTGATTATTTTGACATGTGCCATGCTTGAGATGCCCTTGAGATACCCAAGCAGGGTAATTTAATAAGCAGTTGATTTACAGATCTAGAGTTCAAAAGAGAAGTCTGGGCTGAAAACAGAACCTTGGAAGTTACTGGCCTATAAAACATATTTAAAGCTCAAGGAGTGGAAGACATGACCAATGGATGGAGTGCGGACAGAAGAGAAGAGCCACCCCAGGACAGAGGGGGAACCAGCCAGAAGGAACCAGAAAGAGAGCCTGCCATGGTGGAGGGCGGAGAGGTGAGCAAAACAGAGCAGCAGGGGCACCCAGGGAGCAAAGCGCCGCAAGAAGGAAGAAGAGCTCAAGGAGGGAGAGCAATACCGTGTCCACTGCAATTTAGCTGCACAAAGGTCACTGGTGAACTCACCAAAAACCAATTTGGTGGACTGGCAGGGTACCCAAGAGGTGGCTAGGACTGTAGCTGAGAGCATTCCTTCCTAACTACATTAAAATAAACAGAATTTCAAAAGAGGAACCCTCTCTACAAATCTCTGTCATCATGAGAACACACCAGGGCTTCTCTGCTCTCCAACTGCCCTAAACTGGAGGAAGGGTCCTGCCAGTAGTCCTGAGCCCTGCAGCTCTGGCCAGCTAGAAACTTCTGAACCAATATCCTGCTCAGAGCTCTACGGCAGAAAGACAGCCTCACGTGCAACAGGATTTTACAGAACTGTTCAACTGTTACCTTTCTTCTTTGAGCAGGTGGAGGGGAAATCCTTGTCTTCAACCTTGACTGAAGGCCTATTACACTTCATCCTACAGAAGAAAGAACGGCGTGCTCCAGAACATAATCGAGACGGCCCGGGGGTTATATCTGTCTTAACTGGAAGTCCAGCTGCAAATCAATACACAAAACGTGATGAACTGAGAGCAGTGGTGTCTGTCAGGAGGGGGGCTGTGACCTTGAACAAAGCCTTTTCTCTCCTGTCTCACTGTTTCATAACGACAGCATGAGAGTAACATTTGACCCCAGTTTAGGCCTTAAAAGATGTGCTATGGACAGGTGTGCTGTCAGTGCCGAAACGTCTACAGATCATGTAGAAAGCCGGTACTGGACGTGAACTAGGTACTATGGGATAAAATGAAATACAGCACGGGGTCTCCGTCTAACAGGAGGTTACGAATGAAAAAGGGATATGGGAGCACACGATGAAAAGATTAATAGTAACATAGGCGATGTATGATTAAAAATCAGCTGCCATCAAGTTGATTCTGACTCATGGTGACCCCTGTGTACTGGAATAGAAATGTGTCCCATAGGGTTTTCAAAAGCTGATGTTTTCAAGTCTATAACCAAGCCTTTCTTCTGAAGTGCCTCTGGCTGGGCTTGAATGGCCAACCTCTCAGTTAGCAGCCGAGCATGTTAACTGTTTGTATGGATATTTGATTAGTGCCGAGTAAGGGGCATAGAGAAGCTGTGTTTTTCACAGGAGGAAGTCTGATACTAGCTGGGGCTCTTGGGGAAAGGCTTCCCACAGGAGGAAGACATTGGGCTAAGACATGGAGGATGGGCAAGATTTGGATATTGGGAGGGAAAGGAGGAAGCAGAAATGGCTTATGTTCTCAACTTGGCTGGAGGTAAGAATCCCTGGGGACTTTATTTCCAGACCATGAGACCCCATGCTGGCGCACCGTCCATGATGGTCGCCGTTAGCTACGTGCGGCTGCTGAGCGCCTGAACTGGGGCAGTTCAGACTGAGATGTGCTGTGTGGAGTACACAGGGGACTTCAAAGACTGAGCAGGAAAAAAAAAAAGACTGTAAAAGACCTCATTTTTTTTTTCTTTTACAATTATTGCAAATTGAAATAATTTAGATATTGGGTTAGGTAAAATATACCATTAAAGCTAATTTTATATTAATTTTTACTTATTTTACTGTGGCCAACAGGAAATACAACATTACATGAGGCTCATATTTGTGGCTGACATTATGTTTCCTGCATTATGTTCTTGACCAACTACATCTGAGTCTCTGGAGGTGGAGCGTGACTATGGTGAAGCAGCTCCCTAGGTGATTCTGAAGCGCACTCCTTCTGAAGAAACACTGGTCACTCGCCAGTGCAGCTGCAGAAGCCGAGGGCTACAAATCATACCCAGGGGAGAACGAGCACCCCACTCTTATCATGGGAGAAACTGTCTAAAGAGAGGACTTCTCATGGGTTTCAGCCCCTCTAACCTGCCTCCCGGGAGCTCTGGTAGCATAGTGGCTAAGGCACTTGACTGCTAACCAGAAGGCTGGCGGTTCAAACCCACCAGCCACTCCTCGGAAGGAAGGTTGGGCAATCCTACTTCCGTAGTGATACTGCCTCGGAAACCCAAGGAGGGGTCGCTATGAGTCAGGGCCGACTCGACGGCACATAACAACAACAACAACAACAACCTGCCTCCCACACTGCCACCTCTCTGATTGTCCCCAGAACACCAATCTGATCTGCCCCACCCAGCTGAGAGCCCTTCACCGTGTCCCCACGGGTGAAAGGGTCATTGTGGTCCAGCTCCACGGCTCCACACATTTTGCTCCAACAGCACCAGGCAAGCCACACAGCTCCACACTCTGCACCCCTCCACAAGTTGTTTCCTTTGCTCATTTCCTCCCTCCATCACCTAACAAAATTAAGTCAACTTTTCCAACCCACCTCAGTTGTCACCTACTTGGTGATGCTTCCCCTTGCACCCACATGAGAATGAGTCATTCCACTCTCTGTGCTTGGTGCTATTTCTACGGCTGCACTTACTATGCGGGGTGCCATCTGTCTGCTTGTCTGTCTATTTGAGAAGAACCTTAAAGACAAGGACCAAACATCATTCATCTTTTCTCCTCAGGTCACTAAAAAATGCCAGGTTGCTCTCAAGTGGACTCATGGTGACCCCATGAATACAGAGCAGAGCTGTCCTATGAAGTTTTCAGGGCTGTAACCTTTTGGAAGCAGAGGGCTCTCTTCCAGGGTACCTATGGGTAGTTTTGAACTGCAACCTTTCAGCTAGTGGCTGAGTGCTTAACCATTTGTACCACCCCGGGAATCCTTGAGCAAAGTTAGTCCACTGCACAAAACACAAGTACAAAGGACAAATACTGTATGATCTCACATTTGTGCACAATAACTTGTGCATTCTACAGTTCTTGCAAACCACACAACCCCCCGTGTGTTAGTTTCCTGAGTGCGCTATGCATGTTATATGCATGTGCATATTATTTACATGTGCATGTTCTATGTGAAAAAATATATAGTATATGAAATGAGCAAATATACAGAAATCAAAAATTATTACTGGCTATTAGGGGTGGAAAGAAGGGGAAAAAAGGGAGCTGTTGCCTAGGGGGCACTGAGTTTATGTGAACAGTGGTGGGATAATTTGCAAACGGATAATGAGACTGGTTGGCAAGTGAACAAGGTACTCGAGGCCACTGAACTACACATGTACAAATCGTTGAATTGATGTCTGTTCTGTTGTGTACATTTTTACCACAATAAAATAACAAAATACAAAAGTGAAGATAATAAATACTCAAATTAAAAAAAGAAAGAAAGCCAGGGCCAGACTCTAAAGGGTAACAGTACCACCAGGGACTGCATTTTACTATTTGGAAGGAGATGATGCCTTAGTGAAAAGGATGTATTAGAGGAGATTACTCTGGTGGTATTTCCCTCCAGGGATTAAAATGGAGATTGTGGAAATAGGAAACTACTTAGGCCAGTCTGTACTGGGCCAAGGTGAAAGCAATTAACGGTTAACACTGACAGTGTGCTTACTATGTGCTGGGAACAGTGCCATGTGCTTTATGTATATTAACAACAATGCAATGAAACGGGCATTGCAGATAAGGATACTGAGTATCAGATAAGGATACTGAGGCACAGAGAGATTAAGTGATTTGTCCAAGGTCACACAGCTAATACATGGTGGAGCCAGGACTTGAACCCAGGCAGTATGGCTCTAGGGTCTATACTTTTAACTGCTGTAGTACACAGCCTCCCTTGGGGCTGAAGGAGAGCACGGCTCCGGGGGCTTCACACAGCAGGTACAGGAGGGGTTACAGGAACAGGAAAATGGCTTGAGAATATGAACGGTGGGTCGGCTGCCACAAGAGGGAAGCCAGGAGGGGGAGCCAATCTAATAAGGAACCACTTTAGTACAGGAACCATCAGACTTAAATATTTGAAGTTTTCTTCCTTTATCTTATAAAGTTTCATGTATGTAACACAGATACATAAAGGTGATAACATCATTCTGTGAAAACAACTCAAACTGGCTTGAGCCCTTTAAACTCAGGACCACAGAACTGGGAATTTCTAGATTCTGAAACAAAAATGACTCAAACTCAGAAAGAATCAGGTCAAAATAGCTCTTCTTCCTCCCAATAAATTTGGAAATTGAATTTTTCCTTCTTTTTGTAAAACAAACACAAAAGAATACCAATAATTCATGTAGCCAAACATAGCACCTGTGACCCAGAGAAAGGACAGGGAGGTAGAAACCCGGAGCCTGAGACCTTCCACACACATTGCACTCTGCTCTGCGCACAGTGGTGGCCGCCAGGGGCCATGCCCGTGAGCATGGAGCTGAGGAAACAGCAGAAGCCTTCTCCTCTACTCACTTTTTGCATCTATGAGCCGCTCCCGGGGTGCGGTGTCGGAAGAGGAGAGCTGCTCCTTGACTTTGGCGATATCTTTAGGATGCAGGTAGTCAAACAAACTCTGACCAATCAGATCGTTCTGTGGGGGTGAAATGTTAAAAATGAAAAGGAAACTGCATGTGGGATATAAATTTTCCAACAAGTACATCCTTTGCCTTTCTTTTGTATTTTAAGCATGATAATTTCAAACATTTCATATTTGAACATGTACATATGTCTAACCACTTTGCCTGGATATAGACACAGTGAATGAGGCAATAGGAAGTGGATTTTGATAACCTATGAGCAAAAAAAGAGAGGGCTCCGTTATATAAATAGTTCATGTTCCTCTAAGGGAAGAATCTTTTGGCTGTATATATTCCTTTTTATTTCTGATTCCCCCTAAAAAATCCTAAGAGCTCAGAAGAGGAATGCAGAATGTGGGCTCTGACTGAAGCTTTCCCATTCAGCCTCTCGGCTCTTAAGCAAGTCACGTCACACTGTATATGCCTCAGTCACCTTGTCTGTCAACAGAGATGATAAAAACTTCCTAACTTTGCTCTGAGAACAAAAAGAGCAAAACAGTTTGAGAAAGTTAAATGCTACATTAATTCTAATTTATACAAATGTTATTTTGATTCTTCAGTTCTTCTTCCTACCAAACTTCCATGCAAACACCAGTTTGTGAATGAGTGAATGGATGAATGAATGAAAACCATGAGGACATAATAGGTAAGAGCTCTGTCCTAGCAGCTTTCATAAATGCTCATCTTATTTGATCCTACAAAAAATCATAAAAGGTCTACACTACTATAATCATTTTTCTGAGCAGACTGAGGTATTACAGAGCTAAATGACTCCCTTAAGACCACTCAGCTGGCAAGTGACACATCACTGCAAACACAGTGGATTCCCAACTGTCTTATTCTCTGATACCGTATTACCCCACCCACCATTCTTCCTTGTCATATAGGCCCTTGACTCTTCCCTCCAGCCCACTAGTTGTGGCATATTTATTTTGCAGCATTAACAAAATTAGGAAGTTGCTGATCAGATCAGAGTCAACACTTCCAATGGGGGGGGGGGAATGGAACATATTAAAAGAGTTTCCCAAGTTTAACTTCTTAACAGAAGTTAAGAGTTTTCTGGGAGAAGGATGTAGGGGAGAAAAACAATACATGCATTTTGCATGTGACTTATATTCTATAATTATTCTGAAAAAGGGAGTGACATTTCTGACTGCTGTGAGGGCTGGCCAACAACAGGAGCGTAGAAGCAGGAACAATACCTGGCTGTAGTTGAGGATCTTAAACACAGACTCTGAGACAAACAGAATCTTCCCTCGGTCACATCCTACGACAAACAAAAATCCATCTGCTGCCTATTTAGGAGAAATGTATAATCAATTTATCACACATTAGGAAACATGATTTGTGATCACTCTATCTGATAGCAAATCAAGGATTTGTTTTCTAGGCATCCAGAGGAACGCAATTATCTGTTTCACCAATATCCCGAGAAAGGGATTCTTAAACCAAACTCCTTGTGAGTATAGTAAGGAGCTCTAGTGGTGCAGTGCCTAAAGCGTTTGACAGCTAACCAGAAGGATGGTGGTTTAAACCCACCAGTATAGTAAGATCCTCTCCATGGCAAATGTATATATACATACATACATCTTCTAATGATTACAGGTAAAGTATAATTCAAGTGAATTCTACTTCAAAGCAGAATCCAGCCTAAATTTTTTTTTAATTGTATGATGGTGTATTTTATTGATACAACAACTCTCAGTAGAATCATAGAATCTCAGGTTGAAAGGACTCTTGAAGATCAGCATCACCTCTCAATATCTCTGCCACCATATGTTCTCAACTTGAACACCTCCATTTATAGGGAGCTCTCTAGGGCAATGCTTCTCAACCCTGGAGTGCTTTCTTATGTTTTATAAATGCTGATGCTTTGCTCCCTAGTGGAGTCTCTAGATCCATTGGTCTGGGTTGAACTGGCATTGTTTTAATACTGCTGCCCCTTCAGGCAGGAACTCTGGGAGGGTAGTGGTTAAAGCATTCGGCTGCTAACCAAAAGGCAGGCAGTTTGAACCCGCCAGCCTCTCCATGTGAGAAAGATGAGGCAGTCTGGTTCCGTAGATTTACAGCCCTAGAAACTCTACAGAGCAGTTCTACCCTGTCCTATACGACACTAGGAGTCAGAATTGACTTGATGGCAGTGGGCTTTTAGGCCCCCTGACGTGACTTTAATGTAAGGGTTGGAGAACCACTGCTCACAAATACCCCTTGATCAGGTGTGTATACTAAGTAAGACAAGAGAAGTTAAGCCCAGTTTTCCCCTTGGATTCTTCTTGCCCCTTCTTCACTTCAAATACAGGTAAAATCTAAAATGCCAATGGAGCCATGGAAGCAGCAGTCAAGAAATCAAATGTCATACTGCACTGGGCAAATCTGCTGCAAAGACTTCTTTCAAGTGTTATAAAGATGCTACTTTGAAGACTAAGGTGTGCCTGACCCAAGCCATGGTATTTTCAGTCACCTCATATTCATGTGAAAGCTGGACAATGAACAAGGAAGACCCAAGAAGAACTGATGCATTTGAACTGTGTTGGCAAAGAACACTGAAAATACTATAGACTGCCAGAAGAACAAATAAATCTGTCTTAGAAGAAGTGCAGCCAGAATGCTCATTAGAAGGGAGAAAGGCCAGACTTCCTCTCACCGACTTTGGTCATATGGTCAGAAAGGAGCAGTCCCTAGAGAAGGGTATCATTCTGGGTAAAGTAGGGGGTCAGCGAAAAAGGGGAAGACCCTCACTGAGATGGACTGACACAGTGGCTGCAATGATGGGCTCAAGCACAGCAAGGATTGTGAGGATGGCGCAGGACTGGGCAGGGTTTTGTTCTGTTGTCCACAGGGTCGCTATGAGTTGGAACTGAATGCATGGCACCTAACAACAACAGCAACAAGACAAGACAATATTTGGTCCAGACTGAAGCATGTGAATACCAAAGCTAAAATATCTGACTTAGGATGTTTTTTCTACCTGTACAAGAATCCTATCCACCACTTTCAGAATGGACAACCATTCAGCTCCGGTTGAAACAGTCCCTGCTGCAGAGGAGTGCTGGCCTTCTTTCACATACTTGCTCTTAGTAGCTCCAATCTGTCTTGATTCACTAGTCCTTAGTCTTTTTAAATAATCTAGAGCACTTGACTGTTAACCAGAAGGCTGGTGGCTCAAACTCTCCAGCCACTCCTCGGAAGGAAGAGGGGACAATCTACTTCTGCAGTGATACTGTCTCGGCAACTCAAGGAGGGGTTTGCTATGAGTCGGGTCTGACTCAACAGCACATAACAACAACGATAGAGAAATCTATGACCCTTTCCACAAAAAAGGCCTTTGGGATATACTTTAATTCAAAGAAATAGGAAATGAATTTCTGTGTCAGATGGAAAAAGAAGGGTACTTGCAATGGGCTGGATAAAAGAAGTGAGGGAGAGAACAGATTCACTATTGCTAAAAAAGATAACAGCAGGCTACTCAGCTAGAAGGAAAGAAGGAAGCTAGGGCTGATCCTTTCCAAAGTTAGGTCTCTAAACTGCCCAGGGGCAAGGGATGCAGTGAGAGGGAAGCTGCTTTCCAAGCACCATCTGCTGGAAGCCTCATTCTGTCAAAAAATAGGGTATTAATAACTCCCTTCCTTGCCTTGCAGACAGTCTTATATTTAACAAGAGAAGTGTTTTGAGGTTCTTCATTGATGTAGTTATGTGGCATGAACGGCACCTAGGAAGAAAGTGACTGTGACATTCTAGAGGGAATGGCAAGTGGGAGGAAATGCCGGACAGACTCAAGCAAGAAATGATGACATGGGCAAAAAGAATTTCAACACATCCAAGGGAAAGACGTAGGTTCTAGAGGTCAGTGAATATGGCCAATGCACAGCTACAAATCTATGAAGCTAGCCCTGATGGTAGCTCTGGGGACACTGCACACATAGTTTGTGTCTTAATTTCAGCAAATCCTCCCTGAGACCAAGAAACATCTTTAAGAAAACGATGAAGAGCTGAAGGCAGACCTGAATAACTGTGTCCTGACAGCGGTAAGCAAAAGACTGTCACAACCCCACTGGGAATCCTCAGCCCTACCCTAGTTCAAGTGCTTATCATGGATTTGGATGTTTTCAGAACAGTGCCATGCATACAGTAAGCACTCAAAAATGCTTGTTGAATTAGTTAATTAATGAAAATCAAAAGACACAGAAGACACGCCTATCATAGTTACAAGTCACATGAAGCTTCAAAAGATCATTAATGACAAGCTGGAACATGGGGTCATCTAATAAATGGATTTTGACAGAGATAAAAGAGAAGACCTATGTTAGGTTCAAAAAAACTAACTGAACCTATACAAGGTGGTAAAAAAAAACTGGTTGAACAATAATTATGTACAAGAGAGTTGGGGAGGTACAGTACTACAGTTGCTCCAAATGTGGCATGAGTAAGATGACTTCAACAGCAAGGGAGGCACCAGTCCTCTCAAGGCCAGGCCAACCAGACCACAGCTGAGGGCCTGTACTGCGCTGAAGGAGCCACTTCTGCAGGGAAATTTAGCAAACTATGTGCCCTCTGAAAGTGTGTGTGGAAAATACCACTGGCTGGCCCAGATAGCACCTATTCTTCACCCTCTTCTCTCTTGACTATTTCCACTATGGAGACTCACAAACCTAAATACTTGCTTCTGTAACCTGCCCTGCAGCCTGGGGTGACCAGATGACATGATTTTGGAAAAAACTGAAGTCTACTTACTATTGAGCTTCCAGGGAAGTGTATCCTTTCCTGATCAAAGGGACACTGGTCTGGAGCCTTCACTACTCTTTTTTTCTGGCTGGTGGTTACCCAGACCTGGCACAGCCATCTTGTTACTTTGAGGAAATGAGCTAGCATGCTAGCTTAGGATGATGGTGTGAGCAGATTGGCAGAGCCTGGGTTCCTGCTCACTGAGCCACCACACCCACCCTGCACAGCCTGCATCAGGGCCTGCTCTACCTGAGAAACAAACAAGCAAATAAAAAACCAAACTCACTGTGGTCGAGTCAGTCCTGACTCACAGCAACCCCTCCTTGGATTTCCCAGGCAGTTACCACTACAGAAGTAGATTGTCCAACCTTCCTTCTGAGGAGTGGCTGATGGATTTGAACCACCAGCCTTCTGGTTAGCAGTCAAACAAAATACTGTTTATTTATTAGGCCTTGTATTCCTTGTAAGGAACTCTGGTCATGCAGTGGTTAAGACATTTGGCTGCTAACCAAAAGATCAGTGGTTCAAAATCACTAGTTGCTCTGCAGAAGAAAGATGGGGCAGTCTGCTTCCATAGAGATTTACAACCTTGGAAACCCAATGGGGGTTGCTCTATGAATTGGAATCAACTTAGTGCCAGTGAGTTTGGTTTCTGGTTTGTTTTATTCCTTGCAGCTGGAAACCTTTCCAATTTGATATGAAGCATCGTGAGGGGCTGGGAAGAGTCTCAGGGTGAGCAGGCAGACAAGATCCTGAAGGCCCTGAAGCCAGATCGAGCTGACAATGGATAGCTATGATGCAAATATCCAGTTGGACTACCCTCGATCTCCGGGCTTTGCAAACTTCTGCTCAAAGAAAGGTTCTAAGATTCTGTGGGGGCTCAGCCAGTGAGATCAGTCTAAGCAGCGCAGAGGACAGGAGTGGGTATCTTTCCTTAGAGTTACTATGTTGTTGTTGTTGTTTTCCTTTCTCAGAATTTGCTCAAAGACATGTTTCTGAATCTCGTTTCTTACTATCCATTTCAAGTTAATCTCACACTGTCTACCTAGAAGCAGGCCTTGGAACCACACACAGACCTAATTCTGCCCATAAGCCAGAAGTTCCGATGATGCCACCTTAACTGTCCCTCTGCAGAGACTTAGCAAGAGAGAGCACTAACATGAAGCAGGTAAAAGCTTCTACCATCCCCATTTCTTTCCTCTTTGGCCCACCAAATCTTTGGGAATGTTGTTTTGATGGGATTTTGTTGCGAAGATTTATGTGGACTTTTTTGTACCAGTGGTTAGCTCAGGCTAAGAGTAGCTCTTGACTGTGTGAGTTTGCAATCCTTTCCTAAAACCTTCATGGCGGAATGTGATTTTTAACTACCTCCTACTTTTTAAAAAATCTTGCCTCTTCTGTTTAAAAGTCATAGTAACACAGACTTTCAGTTTTGCCAAAGAAAAGTTAGATGAGGAGGGGAGAGGTCTCGCAGCAGGCATGTGAAGGCTGTCCAAATACTAAGATAACGGTGGAAACCTGAAAGAAGTGGGCCTGGAAAGGTTCAATGCTGAGACAACAAATTCCCACATTCAAGTACTTAATTCTGAAATGCATAAAAAGAAATATTGTATAAAACAATCCTGTTATTGCAACATACCCTGAGAATGAGGTGTTTCAATTCATCATCTGACAGAAAAGTTGGTTTGTAGTTTGCTTCTGTGTATGGATTGGTGGCACCTTGGGGGGAAATAAAGGAGATAGCACTAGTACACTTTATATTCAGATAATGTCTCATTCCATTTCACTGCATCACACTCTCCATATGTGGCCAAGTCTCTACCACTGGGACTTAAATTTTATATTATTTTTCCTTAACTGAGGCAAGGCTAGATCTGACTTTGGACAGAATTCTGTGAGGGTAAAGAGAATCCCATTGAAAGAGAACACTGTTGCCCAGAGGAGATGTACTATGCTTGCTTTTCTCATTACAGGAAAAACCAAGAGATAAATGAACGATGTTAAACATCTCCTGCTTCTGAGACAGAAGACAGCTTGAGAAGCAAGGCAGTAGCAGCTTCTGAGAGGAGTCTCTTTCCAAGATCTGTATTAAATGGGTTATCTAGCAGTCCTTCAAATCACCACTCCAAATATTCTTGGGAAATCATTCAGTCTGCCTGGCCCTGAGTAAATATGTTGTGGAAGGCACTTAGTGCGAGTTCCTCTTCATCAGGGGTGAATTAAATGAGCTTGGCAACCCGGCCAAATGCATTACTTCAGTAAAGGCAGCTCCAGCTCTCAGGACTAAAAGGGGCCAAGACTTGTGTTTAAAAGGCTGTCAGTCTGGCATCTTTCAGGAGAACAATAATTTAACCGAGAAAAATGTCAGCAGTAAACGACTTGGTATCTGCAGAATGGTTACCAGAATAATGAAAAACTAAAACGCAACCAATCCATAACAATTCAAAGTACCAAGAGGAAGCAGGTAAACAGGATGTGTTTTGTGACTTTTAGATCAACTAACCAGGCACATATTGATCCACATCCCTGATGTTTATTATAGTTGGAAACTTGCTACTGTTTTCCTTCCAATTTAATTTAACCTATACCCTTTTCACTAATATGAGTATTAACTGCCTTCTCTAAGCACATGATACATTTATATTTCTGAATAATTATCAAAACTCAGATAAAACCAGCTACTTCTCATTTCTGATGGGTTTGTGAAATAAAAGATGTAGTTCTTTTACCATGCAGGTCAGAGATTTGACTGTCCACTTTCCAATTTCCTCAAACAATACAAGACTAGCCGTGGAAAATTCCAGGAACAGGATTCACTATAATGCCTGATATATTTCAGATTTCTTCTGTGGTTTGGATAAGTCAGTTCTACTTTTCTGCCTCTGTTTTCTCACCCTCCCCACGATCAGAAAAGAAGGAAAATACTGTTTCCTCCTTCACAAAAAAAAAAAAAAAAAACTGGTTTGGGAAAATTCCAGGAAGATGAAAATATCATCAATGTTCATTCCTGATAATAAATACAGCAAGAACCAGCAACCAGTGACTCACTCTTCAAAAGAATCATGAAGAATGTTCTTCTTTAAAAACTGAAACTGATTTTTTTTGTGTCACTCTGCGCACTTACATTTCTGAATTGTATGATGGTCTAGGTGGGATCTGGGCTCACATATGTGCAAGATGGGGCATCAGCAGTGTCCTCTCTGCTCTGCCTTTAGCCCAACTACATGCACCTATAGAGGTGTGCAAAGGACACAGCTTGTATGCTTAGGGATGTGGGGCTGCAAGATTGCATCTCAATACCCACATAAGCTCAATAATCACTTCCTTTGACATCCTGTTTATTGCTGAAAATTACACACATATTTCCCAAAGCTATATATGTAAGTGATAAACATTTGTCTCAGAGATTCAAGAATACTGTGGGTGAGGACATAAAGGACAATAAAGCCCAAGGTCTCACCTCGTAATGTTTTCATGTGCTGAACAGCCATCCTTAGCACGGTAAGTTTATCTAATTTCCTGGACATTGCATTACATGTTGGTACCAGAGAAGCCAATTCGTCAATAAAACTGTTCATTTTATCCCGACGTCTCTTCTCAATCTGACTGTGAGCTTCCCTGAGCAACAATAAGAAAAATGATCACTCACAAAATATAGTCAAGGAGTCAAAGGAAACAATGACAAAGAGAAGTAAGTTTTATCTCCTTTCAATATGCATCTGACAAGGAAAATTTAGAATTTGCAGAAGGTTTCCAATTAGACTTGTCTACTAAAGTCATCAAGAAAGTGGTCCCACTTCCAGGCCAGTGTTAGTTGTTTTATGTTTACCTTGTCCGTAGAAGTAAGAAGAAATATTACAAGAATTATTTTTTCAGAGTAAACAGTTATTTACTTTTCCACATTTCTTGTCCTCCCAGCCTTTGTAAAATCGGATTTTAGGATGGGGGGCGGTTGGGGAAAGAAGGGAGATGGAGGCTCCCCAGAGGAAACACCTGGCTTAGCCAGCATCAAGGGTCCTGTGGGACCACGGTGAGCTATCTCCAAGGTTTCTGAGGAGCCCATCATGTGGCCAGAAGAGCGGCTTTACTGTTTTCTTGTTGGAGACTTACTCATTGAGTCACTAGGTAACTAACGGTGCCATCTTTGGATCAACCACAACCCTATCCAGAAGCTGCAGATGCTATTCTGTTCCCTAGAGCTTCCTCCTAAGAATGCCACACACTCCTATCTCCTAAGAGGTGCCACCTGTCAAGTCAGGACGACACTTCCGGTGGCACACTCTTGTCCTGACTGATTTGCACCTGCCATATGTGACTGTTCTCCTAAGGAGGTGTGTCAACTGGAAACGCAGCTCCTGTAGCTGCTGGAGCAGCAGAGGCATGGGACCTCCCTCAGAGAGGCTGGTCTCTGAGGGAGAAGATAGAAGTCTCAGGTCAGCAGAGTTCTGCAGTCCCCTGGTTCTGTGTGTCATGACACTGCCTCAGACAGCCCGGCTGCTAATGGTGGGAAAGGCTGAGAACCCATATGGAAAGGGGTTAAATGTGGACAGAGGCAAGAACGACCAAGTTAGAGAATCTCGAGTACACGGCCATCCGCCATACTAGAGCCTTCAGCTGCAACTAGCAGTTAGTTATGGACTGAATTGTGTCCCACCAAATCACTGAACAAGTCTTAACCTCTATTCCTGCAAATATGACCTTGGAAGGAAGATTGGGCAATCTACTTCTGTAGAGATATTGCCTTGGAAACCCAAGGACGGATGCTATGAGTCAAACAGACTGCACAGCAGTGAGTTTGGTTTGGTTTATTTGGGAAGTAAGGTGGGTTTTTTTGTTTGTTTGATTATAGTTGTTAAATTATTAAGGTCATACTGGGGCAAGGAGGTCCTAATCACTTCTGAGAAGTGTCTTATAAAAAGAACAGAATAGACACAGACAAATAACATGGGGAAAAGACAGACACCATGTGAGGACTCGCTTATAGGCAGGGATGGGCAGTCAACAGAAAGTAGGCAGGAGGACCTGGAAGGAATTGACCTGGCTGAGACTCTGATTTGGACTTTCAGTCTCTGGAACTGTAAGATGATAAACATCTGTTCTTTAAGGCACCCACTTGTGATATTTTTTGTTATGGCAGCACTAGGTAACTAAGACACAGTCCAATAAGGGTCCTTTTCAAAGGCAAAGTGCAGCCCAGGACTTGAACCACTGAGCTTCGTCTCCTGTGGAGGGCTCTGAGTCAGGAAGGAGTAACCTGCTAAAGACTGAGGGGAAAATTTAGCCTTGGGCTGTCTTCTGCTGTGTCCAAAGTCCCTTTCAGATTAAACATGCTTAGCAAAGAGTGGAAGCCAGCTGAGCCTAGAGGGCACAGAGGGGCAGAAGGCCACAAGAAACCAAGGCCCATGCAGTCTTTCCTGTTTCCTAAGGACATGACAGTACTCAAAAGGATGATTAGACAGACAGATACCAGGCACACACAGAGCCTCCCCCACTGCCCTCTAAGCAACCATAACTCTGTAGACAAAGTGAAGGTCCAAGTTTACCTTGCGTTTTTTATCCTCCCTTGGTGCTCTGTGTATTCTAACCTGGAAAGAAACAAGCAGAAAATAAAAACACAATCCTTGGACATTAATGGCAAAGTATGCATTTCTATTTTCTTCCCTGCTTAATCCCTGTCATCTCTCTCTCTACAGATACCCAAGGGCTTCTGGTTGGTAGTCACATGGGGGAAGGGCATGGAGACAGTCCTGAGCCCCAAGCTCACATCCTCCTTGTTTATCCCCAGTTGAGGACACTGGTGGGACCTGTCCCATGTAATAGAATATGTAATTATGCCAAGAAAATGGCTATAAGGACCCTGAAGTTCAAATTACTAAGGATACACAGGTACCTTCCATGAGGGTCGTCTTTGTCTGTGTCCATGCTTTCTCTGAAAAGAAACAAGAGAATGTGATGACTTGTTAACAAGCACACACAGAACAGCTTCTTATCATCATGATATAGAAAGTCCCCATTTATCCAGAAACCAATCAACTAGAAAGCTCAAATGGCCACGGTATTAACTAATGATATGTAGTAGTTAAAAATTAAAAAAAAAAGAAAAAAATGATCAATTTAACATATAATACCTTCATGGCTTTCCAGATCATCAAACAAGAGTATCCAAACAACAGTAACACTGCACTCCCCTGTCATTCTGGATAAATGGAGTGTAATCTATTTGCCAACCATAACAAGCATCAAATATATGTGTGCACACATATATATTTGCTGAGGGGAGTGAAGTGAGGAGTGGGAAGTCAAAGCACCAACAAAGAAGTCCCAAGCAGAGCCCCGAGGCAGCTTTTCAAAGGCACTGCTACCAAATGTTCTGGTTCCCAACTGAGGTGGGGAAGCCCTAAGCTTGAGGAACTGGAATGGAGAGGAGCAGGGGCTGTGGAGTGTGGAACTCTATTTGGCTACAGAGGGTCCTGGGGTGATGGCAGGAATGTGCCTCCCTTTCACAGACCCCAGAGATTCAGGTTTCATGACACCTTGGGGTTCAGTAGGAAACCGACCTAAAACCCTTACAGGGAACCTGAGGTCAGTTCACTCCTTCCTTCCGCCTCTAAATCAAATGGGTGCTGACAGCTGCCTCAGCCTCTCCTTCTTTCTCCTTTATCCCAGAAGAAAGGAGGGATTATGGCCCTTCAATGTAATCTTAAGAGCAAAAAGAACTGAGTCACATCAGGGACAATCTAGAGCAGTGGTTCCAGCGAGGACCCTTGATTTCCTCAAAGGTAGAGTTGCTATAGCTAGTCCTAAGGTTCAGAGGAAACCATACAGGCCATGTGGGCAAACGAACCCCACTTCAACCCCCTCCCTTTTGTCTAGAACTGTATCTGCTCATTGAGGCCAGGCTGATCATCTCAGGTGAACAGAATATGACTTTAGTGCATAAAAGTAATAGGGAAAGGAATTATTAATTCCTTACTTAATTAACATAGTCTCCATGAATTAAAGAAGGTTTGCAAACTGGGATACATGAAGAAAGCTCGAAGGTCTTGGGTGGTGACAATGTTGGAAGCCACAGATCTAGATAACAGAGGTCTCAGAACATGTCAGTGCTCCCTCACCACTTGCCCAAGACAAGGGGTTCATGGAAAACACCACCTGGTCTTTCTGTTGGAAAGTTACTACTAAGGCAGAACACCCTCATGGTCCTCACACCCTCTCCATCCCCTGGGCGTTTGCTCTCTTGATTATCTGGGATAACTTACATATTAATCATAGCATCTCCTAGTGGGCATCTGACCTCCAGTCACTGTGCTCCCCAAATTCGACCTGTGAACTTCAGCAGAAAGGACATCTGCTGTAGGGGGGATACCTCCTTGGAGATTTTCCCTCATTAAACAACAGAAAACCTCTTAAATGGACATTTGGATAAGATTCCACGCAGTTGCCTCAACAAAAACAAAATGTGCCTTCAAATACTCTAAGCTGCCTTATTCTCTAGGTGTTTGTACAGATAGAGAGGAGTTGACTGTAAGTGTGAAAATTTACTTACTCAAAAGAAAAGTCATCAAGTCTAAAAAGAAACAAAAATACTATTTAATATAACAAGTACATACTAATTTAAATTATGTCTAAGGACAACATCAATGTTCTCATATTGCTTTCAGAGACAACCTCCATTCATTCATTCATTGCACAAACATTAATTAAGCACCTCACGTGTGCTATTTTCATCAGAGAGAGGCCCCAGGAAAAGTTCTCTTTGGAATCACTGAGATTACATACATAGCCTTAGTCCTCTTGCTCAAAGGAGCAAAGGAAGGTGAAGAAAAGGGTAAAAGGCAGGCTTGACTCTAAGGCTGTTATTTTTTCCTTGATGTGGAACATTTGGGACTGGGGAGGGGATAAGGCCTCAGCAGTGCTAGAGGCTCCTTCCTGGCTTGCAAACTGGGAGCTGGGGGTGGGGTGCAGGGGCCAGAGTTAAAACAACCAACCAACACTTCAGCCACCTGGAGTCTGATCTGTTATTCCCATCCCTTTCCACAAAGAGGATCTCATCTTCCAGGAGAAAGAGATGCTCCATGCCCATGAACTGATACCAAGTTTAAATAAGAGGAAAAGCAGAGCTAAAGGTCTTACTGGTAGTCAGTGGAGCTGCCTTTCCGTTTGCGGTTGCAATCCATGCCACTGGTGCCGAGGGAGCTGGAGAGGAGGTCAGTGGGACCGGGAGATATGAAGTCACTGATTGTTGAGGAAATATCCATTCTCTGGTCTGCCATATTTGGGTGCTCTGGAATGGTTACAAGGGGGCACAGAGGCACATTTATTTCAGAGGGCTGGTGGGGTGGGGCTGTTTAAGCACATCTTTCACATTTGTCACCCAATAGATGCTCAATAAAAGAAAAAAACAGCAGCAACCCACCCACCCAGGTGTGTTTCCTTCTTACCCACTCCTAAAGACAGTCCCTAAAGGAGTTGCTGGGTGGTGCAAATGGTTAATGTACTTGGCTGCCACCCAAAAAGGTGGGAGGCTTGAGTTCACCCAGCAGTGGTCTATTTCCAAAAAATCAGCCATTGAAAACCCAGTTCTACTCTCATACACACAGGTCAGTGGGAGTCAGCTCAGTGGCAACATTTTTTTTCTTAATGACTTTCCAAGAAAAGGGCAACATACACCAAGGCTGGTCTATGACCCAGCATGACCAGTGGGGAGTGCTGCTGAAGCACAGGAATTCAAAGAAGAGGATGGAGATATGAAACTGCAGATAAACCAGAGTTCAAAAGCCATGTGAGGGACTAACCCTGAGCTGTACTGAGGTCTCTGAATCAATCCTGGAAAATATCTAGCAAGATGGAAAATCTTACAGAACGAAATGAATATACTGTAAATGTATTTGCAAAACATTTTGAGAATTTATATTTTAAAAGCTCAAGGCTTAGTTGGACCCAAAATGAGGTTGACAAGTACCTTGCAAGGGACTCCAACTCCAAACCACGTTGAAAAGGTCTATGCACCACCCGCAGCAGAGGTCTGAGCTCCACACACTATGACTGGGGCTGTCACTCCCTCTGTCTGGGCCCAAGGATCCTCATCTGCAAAACAAGAGAGTAGGGCCAAAGACTGTGATACACCTGCCAGAATGATCAAGGCTTCTGTCCTCCTGGCTCTGCTGCAGGAAGGCAAGGAGGACAGAAGACTTGATCTTTCTGGGGAGATGAAAGTGAAACTGTCTAGGCAGAAAATCTGTGTCAGTTCCCAGTTCATAGATCTCAAAACAAAACAGAGAAAGAAGAAAACTAATACAAGTCAAGAGGACAGGGAAGAAAATGTGGGACTGTCGAAGGAGACGTGGAAAAATAGGTTTGGGCGGGGCAACCGGAAAGAACAAGGCTGGAGGAAGTGGGATCCAAATCCAGAATATCACACTTCTCTTCGGAAGTGGCATGGAGTGGGAGTCAGTAAGGATATTTGGACAGCTCCAAAAATTAGCCAATGAAAACCATATGGATTACCTATAGTTGTAATGCTAGCCTCTGGGTCAGAAAGCACTATGGATTGGCAGCAACAATGGACTCAAACATGCTAACAATCATGAAGATTGTTCATGACTGTGTTGATGATGACTGGATATTTCATTATGTTGAACACAGAACTATCATGAGTTGGAGCAACTAACAACAGCATCATTTTTCTACCATGCTGTCTTTAGTATTGATGGGTCTCTCAACCACGTTCATCTGTACACTTGAATATGGTTGAGAAAAATGTAACACGCTAACTGTTCTCACTTTCAATCCATGATCTCTCACTTCATGAGAGATGCTCACTGCTGCCAGTCAATTCTTCACTTCCCTGATCTATTTATTCTCTCACTCTATCAAAGACTTAATACTTTCTCTCTCCTCAAGCTTTCAACATCTCCCCAAACCTCATACTTGGCTGATAACTCTGTCTCCTATCTTAGTAAGAAAAGAGACCAGTGATCATGTCTACCAACCTAACTAGTTCCTCCTGGTTACGATCACCACCTGTAATTTGTACCTAGATTCCATTTCTCTTGTCCACTCAAAACTATCACTCCAGTACCCTCCACCCCCTGCATCAACTTTCCCCACTGCCATTAGAAAAAAAATATACAAGTTTTGAAATAATTCCCATTTGGAGAGAACAAAAAATTTATATCCCATTTGCTTCCAGCTGGAGCTCCTGGGTGGCACAAATGGTTAAGCACTGGACTATTAGCATAAAGGTTGGTGGTTCAAATCCATCCAGAGGCTCCTCGAAAGAAGCCCTGATGATCTGCTTCTGAAAGGCAACAGCTGTGAAACCCTATGGAACAGTTCTACGGTGCACATATGGGATCGACACAAGCTGGAATCAACTTGACAGCAACTAATACCAACAACATCCCTCCAGCCACTGCCCCATTTCTGTCTCTAATTCCTTTCCTTTTATTCTCTACAACCCAACTCAAGGCCGGCTTTTTTCTCCATCATTCCAATACACAGTTTTTGTTAGGTTTACCAGTGACTTCCCCACTGCTAAGTCAAATGGCCAGTTCTCCATTCCCTTCCTATGTTACCCTTCAGCAGCATCAGAGAGATATTAGTTTCTCCCTGTCACTGTCACTTGCCTTAAGAGTCCCCACTTTCTAATGGTCCTCCTTCTATTTCAGGAATCACTTCCTTTTGATTTCATAAGCTGGTTCCTCCTTATCCTCCTGGCCTCTAAATGATGGAGGTCCTATAGAGGTCTTTGGACCCCCTTCCCATATACTCACTTTCTAAAAGATCTCATCTAAATTTCATTGCTTCGAATACTATTTATACTATGCCAAACCATCCATAATCCAATCCTGCTTCTCCCCACACTGAGCCTCTTAGTCATTCCCTTCTCTCTAAGTGGCACTTAAATCCTTCTAGTTGCTCAAGCACCAAACCCAGAAGTCATCCTTGACAAAGCTTTCTCTCACAACCTGCATTCAGTCCATCAGCAAATCTATCAGCTCTACACTTGAAAGGCATCCAGAATTCAACCACGTCTTCCTTTTTTCCTTCATGTTTATGTTCAAATGTCACTTCATCAGTGAAGTTTCCCTAAACACCCATGCAATATAAACCCTCCCTTAACTACTCACACTGCTTAGTTTTCCCCTCCATAACCCTTACTGAAATTTGACCTACTTTAATTTACTTCTATATTTATTTATTAGGTGTCTTCTTCATTGGACTATACAAAGTAGGAAAGCAGGAGTTTGGTTTTGTTTACTGACATGTGCCTGGAGTCTAGAACATTTTTCAGCACACAGTAAGTACTCAGTAAATACATACTGAATTAATGAATAAATAAATTCATATTTTAAGGTTATCAATTCTTTGTAGACAATATTATAAATACTTTTTTTTCCCTTTTAGTTTTGTTTATGGCATTTGTGCATGGTACTCTTTAATCTACTTGAAAATTATTTTTGTATACTCTCTAAGGTTGTGAACTTATGTCCCTCCAATGAATAGACAATTGTCCCAACACCACTTACAGGACCATGCATTCTGTTACCAATAATTCGAAATGCCACCTTCATTGATTTATTGCTAACTTCTAGACTCTCTCTTCTGCTCTTTGATCTAATAATCTCTATTCTAGTACCACACTATTTTCATACTGTAATTTTACATGACATTTAATATCTAGTAGAACAAGTCCTTTCCCTCTTACTACTCTTCATTCTCATAAATTTCATGACTATTCTCTGATTTACTGTTCAAGATGAATTTGATTTATTGTTCAAGACCCTAGTGGGTGGCTGCCATTGTTATTCTTTTTATCATTACTAACATTAAGGAGCAGAGAGTCAGGAATGAGAATAGAGCCCTACCTTCGGGGTCTTGGTGACTGATAGAGCCCCGATCCCTCTAGGCCACATGCCAGACATGGGTGCTACCACTAGTCCTCATTTTTTTCCTGAACAGCCAAACAACTGCCTGGGATGAAGCACTCCAGATTTCAGGATTCCTAGAAGTATCTACAGTTCCTGAACTGCCATCCATGCTGCCAATGATCAGTCAGTTGCCAAGCAAGACAATTCATTTATTACCTGAAGTTATGGTTCTTACACCCCAGGTCCAGTTTGGGAGGAGCAAGGGGCCACTGGACGTGTTGGTCACCTCAAAGAGACTTTCATGTTTTGTAGTTCCTTTTAGGCAGTCAACTTCTTCCAAAAACCTATAGTTGAGAATATGGGAAAAGAAAACCCAGACAGGTCATCTTGTGTCAATAAATGTAAATACCTCCATTAGCTAAGGAAGCTGGGAGAGTTCACGGTTCCTAACTGTAGAGAGCAGCATTGGGCAGGTCCATGATCCTGTCCATCTCCACAGTCTCACTGTACCCCCACCCCCAGCAGATAACAAGGAACAAGGAAAAGCAAGTCTTCAGAAAACATTCAATCAAAATGCCAGCAGAACCAATACCAAAAAACTAACTGCTAGGAGAGAGCTAAGTTGTGGAAAGAAAATGTCCATGAAGCTGTCTGGCAATCATTCAGCTCCTTGTTAAACCTAAATTGCAATAGTATGAAGGAATCTGCTAGGAGATATCTTCTGTGATAAATTAATGTTTTTGTAGCTACTAAAATGGATTTTTGGACATGCCATTAAGAGAAGAAAGATAACTATGTTTTTCGTGTTTCCTACTGGGTCAAGTAATAAAAAGAGTAAACACTTAGTTGAGTGTAACTTTGCATCAGATACCATTCATCTTGCTTTATGGGGATTAACTAATTTAATCCTGAAAGTAACTCTGTGAGATAGATACTATTATTTTCTTCATTTTACAGATGAGAAAACTGAGGCACAGAGAAGTTAAGATATTAGTCAAGGTCACACAGTAAAAAGTGGTAGGGCTACAGAGGATATACTCACTGATAAAGACATCACTCAACTCCCTCTCTCAAGCAGAGCTAGTTACCTGAATGCAGTTACCCAACAAGGAACAATATAAAACAAATCTTCAGAAAACATTAAACCAAAATGCTATGAGGGCCAATACCAAAAACTAATTGCCAACAGAGAACTAAGATGTTTGTTTGTATGTATGTATGTATGTATGAATCAATCAATCAATCAATCAATCAATAAAAGCCCATGAAGCTTAAGTACATCTAGACACACATGAAGCTAAAAGAGAAATGAATTCTGAAAAGGGGTTGTGTTCACAAAGTGGCAGAGCGTCCCTCCCCAGCTTTTGCTAACAGGAGGGTGCAGTGGTCTCCTCTCTGTCCTTCTGACTCATGTCAATGATTCTTACATCTGAGAGAATAGGCTCCAAAAGGAAGAAAAGCGCCTCACATATTCCATCCCTTCTCTGCTTGAGATGATAAGACTTCGATTTTACATGGGGCTTTCCTGCCCTTGCTCAAGTCAAAATTCTAGCATTTCTCATACTGCTAGCTAGTCTTGCAGAAATTTAGCAGGTTAATTATTGCAGCTTTTGATTATGTACCTTTGTCTTGACCATGATAAAGGTCTTCAGATGACTATCCAGGAACAGAACTGATTCTGTCTTCCTAATTTACTCCTCTTTGCAATCTGATTCAGAAAGTGGGAGAAGCAATACCTTCACTGCCTGGCTCTGGTAACTCTGGTCTGGGCATGTACAAATAATGTGACCAGGAGTTTTGGACGTCTAGTTCCTAAGTCTCAATTGATAAAGCAGTGTGGCAAATGGATGCAAAGTCCCTGGGGGCAGCACTGGAGGATTAACACATGTAATTCCATCTCATTGCGATTCCCCTCACTAGGTCGCACGTGATCCTCCCAGCACCCTGCTTCTGCACCCACATTTTTGCAAGTGTGGCTCCCCTTTGCCCATCCCTTCCAGCCTCCTGCTAGCCTCAGCTCCTTCACTGTCTGCTTTCACAGCACTGTGGCCACCCCTATGCCACTGCAGCCACTGTCTGCTTTCATGCTTGTCTCCACTACAGGACCATGAGCACTGATCTCCTGGGTGCGCAACAAATGTTAAATGAATGAACAGACTCATGTCCTTTCTCTTCCCATTTCCCCGAGATGTAGATGAAGGTTGTGCTAACAAGTCTCAAACTCTGTATGAAATTCCATATTTCGATCAATTATTCTAATACTCAAATTATTCTTGGACATCATAATAGTAAATGCTAATATAGAATCTGGCACTATATTCTGCAAAAGAAAAATCAGAGGGACTTTCTTATGTACTCAGACAAGGTAGGGAGACTGAATCAACTACGACAAATCATTATTTTTGGAAAACGGTTACTACTCCTAGAAGGTGTGTTCTTAGATCTAAGACTAAGAAAGAAAATAAAACCACCACCACCACAACAAAAAATCTCTTTCTGTGCTACTTCCAAAGGACATTTTAGCTGAGGGAAGAGTGGTTCAAAAGGCCAAATGTACCTGTGGGAAGGGACCCTTGTTGAGAGTGTGGACTCAGGGCCAGCCCTGGAGCCACCACTGAACTGATGCACAGTGAGGATGCTCTTGGGAGAGGCTGATCTGTGGGCCTGGACTCTGGGGCTTCAGAGGTCCCGAAGGGGTGTGGGGAGGTCTTGCTGGATAGTTGGAGAAAGTAAGGAAGAACATGGGGGCACCTTCCATGCCATATTGGTTCCCCATGCACCCTGAAGCACATGAAAAAGAATCTCAGTGGCTCCACCCAAAGGATCAAGGAGACTGGAAGGGGAATCAGCTTAGGCTGCCCCTTCAAAGAGATGCCTCAGCTGTGGAGGCAGAGGATGTCAACTATAGGGAGGAATCAAAAGGAGGCACAGCTGCTCCTATTAGCTGAGCAGGATGAGGTTGAACACTGCCCCTTACATAAAAGCTACCTAGCATCTACTACACCAAGACTACCATATCAAAGACTGCCTGTTGCAAGCCTTTCCCTATGCCCTGCTCCAAATCCAACGCCGTCAAGTTGATTCTAACTCATAGCGACCCTATAGGACAGAGTAGAACCGCCCCATAGAGCTTCTAAGGTAGTAATCTTTATGAAGTAGACTGCCATATCTTTCTTCCACAGAGCAGCTGGTGGCTTCAAACTGCCGACCTTTCCACTTGACAGCTGAGCACTTTAACCACTGGACCACCTAATCTCCTTCCCTGTTTCAACACCTAAGAAATGCTGGGAGAAAAGAAAGGAGAGTATGGTAGACTGCATTAAATTTCAAAATACTGACTGCCCCAGATGATGGGAAGATTGTAATTGCAGCCCCACTGATATCAGGCCTAGCCAAGAGACTTGCTTTGACCAAAGGAGCAGAAGTGCAACTTTTAAACAGAACCTTTGATGTGTTTTCTTTTACTTGTGCTCAAGACCAGCAATTTTCTGGAGATGGGCTCCTCCTTTAGTTAGGGCCTGGATGGAGAGTAGCATGAGGAACAACTAAACTGTTGCTACTGTAAGATGCTGAAATTGTTGATCACAAGGGTGGTCAACTCCTCTGTCAGTCCTGTTGTAGCACTGAAGTCTCACATCCTGGGAACTGTCTCTGTCCCAGACAAATCTAGGCCATTGGTCACCTTCGTTATGACCACTGTATAAGTCATCCTAAGCTGATCAACACAGAGAGGAATAAGGAAAGAAGGACTAGGATCCTAGAACTACTGATCAAGCCTGACAGGGGACAAGGCAACAGAACAACGGCAGTGTTAATCAGGCTAGTTCAAGCTTCTGTTAATCAAGATCATCACCCCAGTTTTCCAGGTGAGAAAACCAAGGACTGAAGAGACAAAGTTATCCTGCTGAAGAATGAACAAGAAGCTAGCAAGAGGATTGAAGCCCAGGGCTGTCTGGCTCACTGCCAGTGCTTCTAACTTACCTGGAAAGTAAATCAGAAGGCCTGGGAAAGGAATGAGGTGGAACTGTAAGAAGAAATCCAGGTTTAGGAAAGCTATGGAAACAGAGCAAAGAAATTCTCTCTGAGATTCCTGGCAGCCAGGGCCCAGAGAACAACTCAGTTCTCACTGTGTGAGACCAGGAAGTATCTCAGTTTATGAGGACAGACTTGAGCAAGGAGAGTTACCTGTTCGGGAGGTTCTCTCTCTGAGGCCTCTATGAGTAATCCTGTGCCAAATGGCTTGAGGAAACAAGCTTTGTAAAAGGACAGGGGGCTTCCCTCTGTTTTAAACAGGATCTCAGTGAAAGCCTGCCTCCCCTCCTGTCCACATCCTCAAGTGCAACTACCAAATAGTGTGTTGAGACTACTATGTGGCCCCAGGATGTCACTAGGGTAGTGGCTTTCAATGATGTGAATTAATAAAAGGACATGGCTTTAAGAAAATATAGACAACAGTGAATCAATACACTTGACTACCCAGTCTGGTTCTATGTTTAGTGATCTACTTTTCCACAAAACTCCCCAACTCCCGCAGGAAGAGCCTCCTGTTGTTATTGCTGCACCTTCGCAACCTGCAAGGAGCTGGCCCTGAGCAAAGCATATGCTAAGTGAGCATTGCCTTCTTCCCCTCCCCAAAAAGCCCATGGCAGATGGCTCCAGCCCCATTCTCTACTACACCGTTCTGGTGCCTGACTCAATGTTTGCTGATGGAATGAATAGTGAGCTGCTCCAGTATGGTGGGCTTAGAGCAGAGGCAATAGGCTGATGGGGCCCCATCCCCTCCACAAGTCTCCCTAGGGACCTCCACCCCCATGGTTATCCTAAAAGCTTTCGGGGAATGTGGCTGCCTTGCCTTGTAACAGACAGATTTAGAGAACGTTTGCCTAGTGGGACCACGTGTCTTGAACCTAAGGTAATGGGTGTTTGGACCTGGGTCATTCACTGAGCATTTCTCCTTCCGCTAGCCATGCCAGGGCACTGGGGACACAGAGAAAAATCAGCAGTCCTTATGTTCAAGATGCCATCAATGTAGTAGGAGAGACACTGCTTAAATAAATAAGTGACAGCACGATCAACACAACAGAGCCCTGCTTACAGCTGCACAACTCCAGGAGGTGCCTGCCTTGTTGGAAAGCAGCAGAAACTTAAGTCAACTCTGACAAATTTCCAGCAGGTGGCAGTCAACTGTCTTGAGGAAGGAGTGCTTTTTCCCAGCTATAGAGTATATTTAAGATTAGAGGAGAAAACACTTAGCTCATTGGTGTGTGTGTGTGTGTGTATGTAAGAGAATGTGTAATGGAAGGAGAAAGGACCAGGGAGAACTTTAGACTTCAATTCAGTCTGG